TAATTCAGATGTTTCTCTATTTTGGGTCACATTATCTGTATCGGTAAGAGCCAGCTAATAGTCACTGTCTGTTATCGAGTTTGAGATGAATTTACAACTCGTAGTATGTGTTCTCTAAAAGTGGGTGCACCTGCGTTTGGTGACCGTCTATTTAAAATTGTGATGCCCTCATAATGGATTGTTCTGTTAATTACGCAGTGAAAATTTTAACCTCTTCTGAGTAATTTTCGTTTCAAATCTGTTTTGTCAAATATGAGGATGGTGAGAGCTGCTCGTTTCTCAGGAACGGGTTTTTCTGTTCTTCACCCCAGGAGTCCCTTGTTTTTAGTGACGGGGAATAGATGGATCCTGCTTTTGAATCCAGCCCACTAGTCCATCTTCCGAGTAGAGAACCGAGACATTAACACTCAGAGTTTACTGTTGGAATGTGTGTATTAATTGTTACTTCATTGGCTGTAGTCTTGCAGTGTTTGATGTCTTCCTGCTCCTCATTTGCTTAACTATACTAATGTTATTTCTTGTGTCCTCGTGGGTGTGTTTATCTTTCTTGTAGGTTTGAAGGATTCCTCCAAGTATCTTTTGTAGAGCTCGCTTCATGGCCATGAATTGCTTTAGCTTGTTTTTTTTTTCCCCCCAATCATGAAAACTTTTGTTTTCCCTTCAGACCTTACAGTTTGGGTGCTATAGTGATCTGAATCGCAGTTGGTGTCTCTTAGAACTTGAAATGCATCCTTCTGAGCCCTCTTGACTTGTTTTTTAAAGACGTGTTTATATTTTATGTATGTAGTGTTCTGCCAGCATGTGTGTGTGCCTACAGGCCAGGAGAGGGCGCCAGATAAAAGTCACTGTGGACAAGTTTGCTGTTTTGGTGACTACACCTCAGATGCAGCTTTGTGTTTCTCTAGTGCAGCTTTCGGATGCTGTCTTTGTCCTGTTTATGTAGTATTTTAACTGTAATTTGAGGAGGTTCATCTCTGGTATTGTCTGCTTGGTGTTCCAAATTCTTCCTGTACCCAGATATTTTCTGCCATGATTTTGATGAAAATGCTTCATTTGCTTTGAGCAGGAAAGTGTCCTTCTTTATGTCCACGTTCACAGATTTCCTCCTAGTGTCCCATGAATGTTCTGTTGTAGTGTCTTTGTCTTTGTCACTGTCTGGACGCTCCAATTGCGCTTCATTGTCTTCAAGCTCTGGTCTACTTTCTGTTTTACCACGGGGGGGGGGGGGGGGGGGGGGGGGCAGCCTCCAGCAACACAAGGCTTTGAAAGGAATCCATGGCTAAGACTTTTTCTATCCCTTGATGGATACCTTCTTTATATTTGTATGTTCTTTTAGACCTCTATGTCAGCAAAAAGGTCCAGCTTCTTCTGATGGACTAAACTGGACCCAGAAGAGCTGTACAAAAGTGTATTTATTGATTGTTACACAAGGCATTTCCTCATTCCAAGGTTCCTAACCTTAATTTACATGCCTTACCGAAGGGGACCATCACATGCCTCCATAACCCGGTCTTTCATTATGTATTGTGTGCAGTGCACAATCATACAGTGCACATACATGGGCCAGAGCGAGACCCCAGACACCTTCTACCCCTTTACTGCTTTAGAACAGGATCTCTTACTGAGCTCGGAGCTCACTCTTTTTGGTAGGTCCTCACCAATGCTGTCATTACAAGCACACATGCCCAGCTTTTTACATGGTGCTGAAGCTTCACACTCGGGTCCCCAGGCGAGCCTGCTTTTCCTGACTGTGCCAACCCTTAGGCCCATCTGGAGCTGTTGTTCAGCTAGTGGGTTTCTCACTGCCATTACTGCAGCTTGGCTTCTCGTCAGTGTTCCTATATCTCTGTTGGGTTCCATTTCCACGTCCTATGTTGAATTTCTTATTTCATTCACTTGTTCGTGTTCTTTAGGAATTCATTCAGAAATCTGTGTCTTCTTTGTTTTCTTTAGATATACTTACAATCATTCTTTTGAATTATCTGGGATTTTGTCTAATTCACTCTCACTGGAGGCCATTGCTTTGTGAATTGTTCATTTTGGAGGAGTTGCACTTGTAGGGTGAAAAGCGCCAAGGAAAAACACCCTGCCCCTGACTTGACCCCAGGACCAGGGTTTGAAAACCCACCAATCCCCGAGTTTGCTCCAGGGTCAGACCACAAAAGGCCAACCTAGAACGCTTCACTCCCAAGGAACCCTGTTCAGTTTGCTGCTGCTCCTCACCCTCCTGGATTCTTCCTTCCCAACAAATCCCTTGAGTAAGGTCTGCAGTGCAGTGTGACATTTTTGCCAGTGAGGAGCCCCGCTGTAACAGTTTTCCCTGGAGCCGAGCCGAGCAGAACTGTAGAACACTTTGGTTGGGGAAGTTTCCGCCAGCAGAGCGGAGCTGTAACAACTTGTCTGGGAAACCCTCCCCGCCTGGGGAAACCTTTCCCTGCTAGGCCTACAGTGACTTTGTGGCATTCCTTGTCTCCCGACTGCCAGGACACCTTTGCATCTGAGCTGCAATGCTCACAGCATTGTTTTGGGGGTTTTGTATTTCTTTGTTTTTGCATTGGGACTGATGCATCTAGGGTCAGGTGGTTGGTTGGGTTGCTTTTAATCATCCTCATTCTTCCAGGGAAAGTTATCAGCATTCAGCTGTAGACTGGGGAGTTGAACACGTTCTTCTCTCTAAATCCTTTTTATCTGCATAATTTTGGGAGGCTACCTAAATTCTCTTTCTTGGTACTTTGACCTCATAACTCTATCTATACATATTATAAATGAGTTATTAACAATACTTCCATTGTTTTCCCTCTCTTGGGTATTCTTTATTATCACTGACTATTTTCCAATATTTGAAAACTGTTATTTTAATTTTCCTTAGCTTTTAGTCAGTTAAGCTGGAAGGGTCACTGTAATTGTTGCTACTCTGTTTTGATCAAGTTAAAAGATCAGACTAGGGATTTTGCTTGTTTGTCTGTTTTGTTTATAAAGGTTTATTCGTATGTGTGTGTGTGTGTGTATGCATGTGAGTAGGTACCCCCAGAAACCGGAAGAGGATGTCAGGTCTCCTGGAGTTGTAGGTGTAGGTAGTTGTGAGCCTTCCCTGTGTGGGTTCTTCCTCTGAAAGAGCTGCAAGCAGTCTTGATCACCAAGACATTGCCAGACCCCTAGATATTCTTCAGTACAGGCACAGAGCGATATTCATAAACCAAGCAGAACATGGCTGGAGCTTTTCAGGAGTCGAGGGTGTTGCCTAGCAGCAGATCTTTCATGACTTTATAACATCTCTAATATTATTATATCATATTATCTGTTTTCCTCATGACTGTTCTTGTTTGTTTTTAAATATTTGTGTTGTTTCCTCCCACCCCACTTGAATTTGGTGTTTCTTGAAAGCTCTTTGGTATGAGAACAACGTTCCTTAACTTTTTAAAATACATTTTATTTGTATTGTGTGTGTATGCTGTGTGCCACAGCACAGGAGTGGCAGGAGACATGTGTGGAGTTGGCATTCTCCTATCATGTGGACACTGGGTGTCAAACTCAGGTCGTTAGGCTTGGTGGCAGCTGCCTTTACTTGCTGAGCCACGATGCAGCCCAAGAACAGCACTCTAAATCTTACTACCCTGAGAAAATTTAGTAACTATTTCCTCAGTATCTGCCTGCTCCCCTTTTTACTGTCTCTAAGAATCTTTAAAGGAAGGCTGCATTCGCTCCTTTGTTCTTCTGTTTCCTGCTAGTTGGAATTTGAGGTGGTAGTTATAGCTTGAGTAGCCATTTTAGCAGAGGAGGCAGCTCTGTACTGAGAAAGGTGAACAGCAAAGTGGAAGGAGCCTAGCTTCTTCGTGCCATTGTGAAGCCACAGTCCTTCCCTCCCTCCCTCCCTCCCTCTCTCCCTCCCTCCCTCCCTCCCTCCCGATTTCTCTCTCTTCAAATTCATTTTTTGTGACATGATCTGAATATGCCGTCCACATAAACTTCAAACTTGCAACCAACCCTTCTTTCTGCTCAACCTAGAAGATGCTGGGTTACAGGTGTGCATCACCATGGTGTATAATCTGTTGTTGTTGGCAAAAAGGAAAAAAATGTGTATTTTTCAGCTGGGCAGTGGTAGCATATGCCTTTAGTCCCAGCACTTGGGAGGCAGAGGCAGGTAAATCTCTGAGTTTGAGGCTGGTCTGGTGTACAGAGTGAGTTCCAGAACAGCCACGGTTGCACAGAGAAACCATGTCTCAATAAAACAAGACAGAAAGCAAAGGTGTATTTTTTCAACTGTTGCTGATTTTCTACCATGCATAGCTAACTGTGACTGATCCCACATAGTGAGTGTGCTGTATAGTTTTATGTCAAGTTAACACAAGCTAAAGTCATCTGGCTATAGGCAAACCTGTAGGGCATTTTCTTAATTTGTGGTTGATGGGGGAGGGCCCAGTCCATTGTGGGTGGTGCCATCCCTGGGCTGGTGGTACTGGGTTCTATAAGAAAGCAGGCTGAGCAAGCCATGAAAGCAGAGCTTCTCCATGGCCTCTGCATCAGCTCCTGCCTCAGTCTCCTGCCTCACTGTGGGAGCTACCCCTTCCTCCTGGAGCAGCTTTTGGTTGTGGTATCTGTCACAGCCCTAGTGACTCCACCGAAGACAGAGTAAGGAAGGAAGGGGGCAGGGGGCTGGGTTTGGATCACACATTGGTCGAAGATGGCATTTTTCATATATTCACCCATGCCTTTAGCATCTGGGTTATTTTAGAGAATAGTGTACCTTTGAGTTGACTAGAATAGAATGTGGTCCCACTTCAGAAGCGAGAGAACTGTGTCTAGGAAGGCGCAATGGCTGGGGGAAAGCGCTTCAGCAGGCCAGTCAGAGAGCTTGGTTGCAGCTTGTGTTCCTCTGCCCCTGGTTGTGAATGGCTTCTCTCCTCTGTTGCTCATAGACTGTAGAGGGCAGGCTAGAGTCAGTGCACCGGAGTGCACTAGGTTCTGATGGTTTCATTTGTCCTTCCAGCAAAGGGTGAATCATGAATAAGGACACCCTAACTGAGTCTAGGAGCAAGACGGCAGGAAAGTCAGATGAGCACCCCAATCTGTGGATAGAGCGCTTCTTCAACCGGAGATGCTGCATCACCTTCCTGACTGGCTGCTACAGCTGCCACTGGCAATACAGAGAGTGGGAGAAAACTGAACTTGGATCCTGTTGCTGCGCCTGGGTATAGACATGGGAAGGAGCTGGATTCACTTCCTTAGCTGTGGGGGTGGGGGGTCCTAACCACTGCAGTGCTCACCGGGATCTCCAAGGTCTTCCTGTCAAAGTACTGCGGCAAGCCTAGAGCCAGAGTAAAACATACATACTGTCTTCCTCATCCTCCCTTTTCCTTCTCCTTCAGACTTAGGATCTCCTGCATGCTAAGCAAGAGCTGAACTGCTGCACTACACCCAAAGCCCCTTCGTTTGTTTCTTGTTGCTGTCTTCCCTGCTCCCCGGTGTTTTAAAGCAGGATCTCTTATTGCCCAGACTGACCTTGAACTTCTATATAAATGAGCCAAACCTTTAATTCCTGATCCTCTGTTGCGACCTCTGAGTTCTGGGATGACAGCCATGTGTCATTCATTTGTTCATTTTTCATCCACTTTTATATTTATTCATTGAATTTTGAAGACTTGGATGCAATTAGATGTTCATAGGAGAGTACAAGAATGCTCAAATTATCTTTTCATGTATGTATCATATATATCTTTTTTTTTAAACATACCAATCCCAGTTCCCCCTCCCTCCTCTCCTCTTGCTCCTCCCTTACCCCCACCCCACCGCCCATCCACTTCTCAGAAAGGGTAAGGCCTCCCCTGGTAATTCAGCTAAGTCTGTCCCATCACCTTGTTGAGGCAGGACCAAGGCCTTTCCCACCCCCACCCCCCAGTCCTGTGCCGAGGCTGAGCAAAGTCTCTCTCCATAGAGAATGGGTTCCACAAAGCCGGTTCCCGCATTAGAGTTAGATCCTGGTCCCACTGCCATTGGCCCCAGATACTGCCCAAGCCCACCCTTGTCTCCTGTACTCAGGGGGCCTAGTTTAGTCCTGTGCAGGTTCCCCAGCTGTCAGTCCAGAGTCAGTAATCTCTAACTAGTTCAGGTCAGCTGATTCTGTGGGAGTGGGGGTTGCTGGGGTAGGTGGAGCAGAAGGGAATAGAGGAGTCACTGAGAAACCAAGGCAAGGGAAACAGGTCAGGTAACGTGGTTTTAAAGCTTACCCAGTATACAGGAGGTAAAGAATATCTGAAGAGGGCTGGGCTGTGACTCAGTGGTGGAGCATACGCTTAGCGTGTGTGCAGCCCTGGATTTGATCTCCATCACCAGAGGGGGAATACTTTGATGCTATGACCTGGGCTGTGTTTGGAATGGTTATTTGAGTGGTGGAGGACGCATCAGAAGGGCCAATGCAGGAAAGGGAAGACAGTGCAGTGCTCCAAATAGGAGGTGCAGGTGGCAGGGACAGGAGCAGTAAAGGCCGATATGAGGAGAGACGGGCAGGTTTGACAGATTCATTACTACTCGGGGGTGAGATCTATGAAGGATCTGGAGTAAAATGTAAAGGGAAGCTGCTTTGAAAGGGTTGCATTTAGGGCAGTCTAGTACAGCGGTAAAAACACTGGACCAGAACTTTGGAGTATGTATGGGCTGAAATTATAGCTATAACTTGGGCTGGTTATGTGATATACCAGCATCTCTCTGTAGATAGAGAATCCAGTTAGATAAAGGCCCTGAATAATTTTCAAGTATCCTTTCTACTCATATGGAGTAAAACACAAAGGTGAAGACCACCAGATTCAATTAATGGCTTTGCTACTGACCAGCCCTGAGTTAGTGACCCATTGTTGTAAGGGTTTAGGCAAGGCTCTCAGCATTTCTGTGAGTCAGAGCCCTTGTTAGAATAAGGCAGACATTAATAATAAAGCCCATGGCAGGAGCTGCTGTGGGAAAGGAGAGATCTCTGTAGGAAGCACTTTGCACAGAGCATAATAAAACTGATGTTATTATGGCAGGGTTCTTAGGGTCGCTGCTTTGGGAGGCGATGAAGGGAAATGTGTAGAGGAGGGTTCGGGGTGTGTGTGCGTGTATGAGTGTGTGAGTGTGAGTGTGTGTGAGTGTGAGCGTGTGTGAGTGTGTGTGTGAGTGTGTGCGTGTATGAGTGTGTGAGTGTGAGTGTGTGTGAGTGTGAGCGTGTATGAGTGTGTGTGAGTGAGTGTGTGTGAGTGTGAGCGTGTGTGTGTGAGTGTATGTGTGAGTGTGTGTGTGTGAGTGTGTGTGTGTGAGTGTGTGTGTGAGTGTGTGTGTGAGTGAGTGTGTGTGTGTGAGTGAGTGTGTGTGTGTGTGAGTGTGTGTATGTGAGTGTGAGCGTGTATGAGTGTGTGTGTGAGTGTGTGTGAGTGAGTGTGTGTATGTGAGTGAGTGTGTGTATGTGAGTGAGTGTGTGAGTGTGTGTGTGTGAGAGTGTGTGTGTATGTGAGTGTGTGAGTGTGAGCGTGTGTGTATGTGTGCGTGAATGTGTGTGAGTGTATGTGTATGTGAGTGAGTGTGCATGTATGAGTGTGTGAGTGTGTGTATGTGTATGTGAGTGTGTATGTGTGTGTGTATGTGAAATTAACCAAAAAATCCAAAGATAGAAAAGCGCAATGCTGTTTTTAAGGAGAGTTTGATTTCCAGTGCCGAATTTAGGGACATTTGAAGGAATAAATAATAACTAGGATTAGAAAATAAAGTTTAGATAAAATTATAACATCTTTACGTTAGGCTAAAAAAATGAGCTTTATCCTATCAACCAGAGAGGAACCCTTGAAAATTTCAAGCAATTAAAAGAATAGAAACAGATTTTTTTTTTTAGCAGAAAGTTATTAAGCTTATCAGATATGTATGCCACAGTAGCCAAGACAGCTGAAGCCTTCCTCTGGCCTTCAGCAGCTAAATTCCAGTGGGATAAGTTATGTAATAAATAATAAAAGGAAAAGTGCTTTCAAATAGTAGTAAGATCTTTGAAGATAAAGTAGAAGTGTGTATTAGAAATTGGGGAGGGGGAGTGGTTAGAGACCTGTGGAAACTCCTTTGGTCCATCTGCAAATGAAGAGATGGACTCAGCCTTGCGCTGGGGCAAATGCGTTCCGGGCAGACGTGCTGAGCACCTGGCTGCGGAGTAGGGATGGCATTTGATGTGTTACAGAAGCAGCTAGTGTGGGAGTCAGTGGGGATGGGTTAGGCTAATCCTAGACAACCCTGTGGGCTTGAAAGGCTCTTTGGATGGCGATGGTGTCGTAGCACGGGGAGCTCTGGGAGGGTTGAGCAGCGCAGCGACATTATTTGGTAACATGTTTATTATTTTTTATAATTTTTATTTTATGAATGAGTGCTCTGCATGCACATCCGCTCACCAGAAGAGGGCGTCATTACGGTGTGTGTAACACTGAGCCAACGCCTGTGCCCATCACCCAGCTACACTCCTGGTAGTGGTTTGCTGCCCTAGTGCCCATTTAGGACTCCTCAGCTTGTCAGGATGCCCTTTCTGTGTATATCCGCAATCTTTTAAACCTCAGATTATTCTGGCCTAGGGAGGGTAATGGCCAACACCAGAACAATCCTGACCTTTGTGCACAAGATTCACTGAGGTAACATAGACAGTGGTGCTAAGTGAGGCTTCTTTGTCTTTTCAGAAAGAACAGTTTTTTTATATGTGCCTGGTAGTTGCATTCGTCCTGTCTGTGATTTTCCTGTTTGTGTGGGTTGAAACCTCTAACGAGTACAACGGCTTTGACTGGTGAGTTCATTTCTGTACTTTTCTTGGTATACGGGCTCCTTCACTGGACAGCCACTTGGGTTCTCCCAGGCTGAAAGATCTGGTGATTTAGCAGGTGGACAAACGTGGGTTTTGCACAGTTGGGGCACTGAGCAAACGTTCAGCACCCAAACTCACACCTCCCTTCCACCTGTGCTCAGTCACACTGCAGACCAGACGGTGCTCCCAGCTTCCTCTGTGCTTCTGACACCCCAGCCCTCAGGTACGGATTCTGTTCTCTTTACTCTGAAGTCCCTTTGCTTGATGACAGATGCCCATACTCTTGTTCCTCACGGTTTATGTCCCACAGTCCTGCAGCCTTTGCATCTGTCCTTTGTCTTTAGGGTCCCTTGGAACTCTGGGCAGAGGGACACATGTTCCTTCTCAGCTCCCTTTCATGGCTAAGCGACTCCCTGACACTCTCAGACTTCTCAGCTTTTCTGGCCTGATACCTGTAGCATCGCTGTAAGCCTTACCTCCCTTAGTGTTTATGGGAGAAGGCGTGTGTAGGCGTGAGGCTCCTTTATTTTCCTTAATGAAATGCAGTTTATTTTTCTCTGTATAAAAGTTAAATCTAGTTGGTTATCTTAAATGTAGAAAAAAAGGAGAAATTAGGGCTGGAGGGATGCTCAGAGGGTAAAAGAGGTGCTGGAGGGATGCTCAGAGGGTAAAGGAGATGCTGGAGGGATGCTCAGAGAGTAGAGGAGATGCTGGAGGGATGCTCAGAGAGTAAAGGAGATGCTGGAGGGATGCTCAGAGGGTAAAGGAGGTGCTGGAGGGATGCTCAGAGGGTAAAGGAGGTGCTGGAGGGATGCTCAGAGAGTAAAGGAGGTGCTGGAGGGATGCTCAGAGGGTAAAGGAGAAGCTGGAGGGATGCTCAGAGGGTAAAGGAGGTGCTGGAGGGATGCTCAGTGGGTAAAGGAGATGCTGGAGGGATGCTCAGTGGGTAAAGGAGGTGCTGGAGCAATGCTCAGAGGGTAAAGGTGTTTCTCATAGAGCCTGACGATCTGAGTGCAATCCCTGGGACTCACGTGATGGAGGCAGAGGACTGACTCCTGCGAGCTGTCTTTTACCCCCATCCCCCGTGGGTATGTATCTGTACAATGCACGGACAGAAATAATTTTTAAATGCAGAAAATTGGAAAATATATGGTCACATTCAAATGACAGTCACAACCCAGCTTTCTGCTGTGCTTATATTATTATGTTTATACTATTTTTTATTTTTATTTTTTGGTTGTTCAAGACAGGGTTTCTCTATAGCTTTGGAGCCTATCCTGGAACTAGCTCTGTAGACCAGGTAGGCCTTGAACTCACAGAGATCTGCCTGCCTCAGCTTCCTGAGTGCTGAGATTAAAGACGTGCGCCACCACCACCTGGCTAAAATGGCTGTATTTCATCTTTATCCTTGAAGGGGATCTTAGACAGGCTTAGCACTCTAATTTGCAGTTTTTCTTTGAGCTCCGTAATTCACTTGCTCTGCTGTCTCCTCGCTTGGTTTATGTCGAGAAACGTGCTGTGTGCCCATGACCTTCTGAACCTAATCTGCCCTTGAAAAATCTACCTACTTTTAGGAGTTTCCCCTTTCTTTGGTTTCCATAGTTTTCCGATGGTGTGCGTGTATGGTTTTCTTTCTGCTTTAAGTTTGTCTTGCTTCTTTCCCTTGCAGTTCGATATCGGTACAGACTTTCTTTTGTCAACTTGTTTAAGCCGAACCTTAGTTTCTTCACTGTACAGTTTCAGTTTCAAGAGAAATTGATACATAGTTTGGAAGGCAGAGGTGAGGCAACACCTGTTTCTCTACTTTGAAGGTTGGAGTCGCTAATATGCACTGACTTGTTGACGTGCGCAACGCTGAGATCTGCAACTCCCTTACCTTTGACCATACTTTCTGCAGCTTGTCTGAGTAGTGTATGAGGTTTTCTACAACTTGTGGTGAAGATTCTTTAGGTTGCTCCTGCTATCAAAGCTCGAGGTTGTGAGTCAGCCATGGCTTTGAGTTTGTTCTTATGGGTTCCAGTACATCTGTGGAAGTTCTAGTTTCTTCCTGACTGCCCATCTGACTAACAGTGACTTAAGTGAGGCCTGACACAAAATACAGGGGCAAGGACCCCTCATGCAGATCCTCCATGTTCCCACAAGTATGAAGTACGACCCCTGTGATAAATTTTACTCTGTATCACTCATTGTGGTTCTGTTTCTTTAAAGAAACCTTTACACAGAACATATCCACAGCAGTTCTAGAAGATACAATCTTTTACTTAAAAAATATGTATTTTTTTTAAAACTCTGTATGTGTGTTTGTGTATGTATGTGGGGTGTGTCTTCTTGAAGACAAGATTTAAGATGAAAGGCTGGCATTTGATGAGGCTGCATATAAAATGCTGTTCAGGTTAATTAAGAAGACTCGTACTGGGGCAGGCAAGATGGCTCAACAGGGCCGACAACATAGATTTGATCCCTGAATCCTACACAACGTAAGAAGAGGAGCAACTCACAAGGTTACCTTCTGACTGCCACACACATGCTGTGCCCCCTACTCTCACAAAATGAAAGAAGACAAAGAATATTTTAGAAAGACTAGGACCTCTGCGGGACCAGGCCCGAGCCAGCGACCCCTGGAGCAGGTAGACTGAGCAACTTCTGAGAGAGCAGACCCAAGTGAGCAACCTCCTTGGGAGCATGCCCGAATGACCTCTGGGATTGCAGGTCAACTTCCGGGAACACGGAATTACCTCCAAGAATGCTGAGGATGCAGAGCGACCTCCTGGGTGATTGGAACCCTTGCCCTGACTCCACTAGGAGAACAACCATCTGAGCCTTGGATCCACTGGCACTAGAGACACGGCCCCAACTACACCAATCAGAGGAAAGGATAGGTGGACAACAAGGTAAGAGCACACATCACCACCAAAAACTAGTGGCTCTATGACAGCAGCTCCCTAATACAGACAGAGCAGAAGAAAACGATCTAAAAAATAACTTTAGGAGAATGTTTGAGGCCATTAAAGAGGAAATGAAAAGTCCCCTCAAAGAAATGGAGGAAAAGACAAACAAAAAATTGGAAGAAATCAACAAATCCCTTAAAGAAAACCAAGAAAAAGCAAACAGGTGAAAGAAATGGTTCAAGATTGAAAACTGAAATAGATACATTTAAAAAAATCTTTCCTGGTTGTTCCACTAATTGTGTTTTGTTGGGCATAATTTCATCTATTTTGGAAGCTTAATTGGGTCCCCTTTTGACTTCCACCCAACCTCTGAGGGTATCTGTCAGACCTGGAGCTCATATGCTGGACAGTGTTAGCACTGCGCTCCACCCCACCCTCTTTCCAGGGCTCCCTTTCCCAGAGTGCCATTCTCTCGCAGGCTCTTCACTGAGGACTGCCTGCCCGGTCCTTCGTGGTGTGTCGTATAAACCCTACAAAAGTGGCATTTTCTTTATTACTTTGAAGTCCTCTTTTAAGATTTATGTATTTTATTCATCAGATTCCACTATAGATGGTTGTGAGCCACCATCTGGTTGCTTGGAGTTGAACTCAGGACCTACAGAAAGAACAATTAGTACTCTTAGCCAATAAACCATCTCTCCAGCCCCTCCTTTATTATTTTTAATGTGGTTATAGTCTCACTCTATATATTTTATATCTTTAAAGTTTTTCATTGACAGAGAAAACCTAGACAAATACAACATTGTCTCCCCTCACAAGTCTTTAGTGTTTTTCCCACAGATGGTACTTTCAGAGCAGAATGATTGGGACGTAGCCCTCATACAGATGAGAGCAATTTATATGGTGGTTATGAGTGCAGTTATGTAAGAATGTATATGTAGTGGCATTTCATTCGTATTTTAATAAATAAAGCTTGCCTGAAGATCAGAGAATAAAACAGCCGCACTGGCCAGCCTTACAGACCAGGCAGTGGTGGCACACACCTTTAATCCCAGTGGTGCACGACTTTTTTTTTTTTTTTTTTTTTTTGGTTTTTCGAGACAGGGTTTCCCTGTGGTTTTTTTTGAGCCTGTCCTGGAACTAGCTCTTGTAGACCAGGCTGGTCTCGAACTCACAGAGATCCACCTGCCTCTGCCTCCCAAGTGCTGGGATTAAAGGCGTGCGCCACCACCGCCCGGCTGGTGCACGACTTTAATCCCAGAACTAGAGAGGAAGATAAAATGGGAGGAGACAGCTCCCAGTCACAGTCTCATTCTGAGATTCCTGGAGGCAGCATCACCATTTTCGGACTGAGGTTGAGGTAAGAACCAGTGGCTGGCTGTTTTGCTTCTCTGGTCTTCAGGTTGAGCCCCAATATCTGTCTCTTGCGTTTTTATTAATCATGCTACAGGTATACATGTACCTGGACAGGGAGCTTGGAAGGGAGAAATGACTGGTCATGTTGATGTAATTAATTCAGGGGGTGATTTCCTTTCTTTAGATAGTGCAGAATTTCTACATCACATTGTTTATTGAAGATGATATAAATTTTGATATATGTTATATATAACTTTTTAACATCTCTCCACTTATAGAGGCTACATTAACATTGTTGGTTGCCTATTGTACAAAATTAAAAAAAAAACCCAAAACCTATCCCCAAAGCACTCATAAGATCTGCTCACAGAGTGCGTCTCCTCTCGTCCCCTCAATTTTTTAATGCCCCATTTAGTCTACTCCTGTCTCTACCCTTAATGTAGATGCTATTACTGATCCCTGCTATATTTTAAGGATTGAAACGTATTTTTCAGGGTTGTTTATCTAGGGGCAAAACGCTGGTTCTTGTGGTCCATTTTTATGTTGAGTATAGCCGGGATCCTGACTGCCTACACGTCCTTGCTTTTGGTGAGTGATGCTTCTCATTTTTCACTTTTGAGCAGTTTCGTAGGTTGCTCCTTCCTGTGCTATTGTATCTATCTGGAGTCTTCAATATTAGTAGAGCTGGGAGTTTACATCGGCTGCTTCAGTTTTATGCACAAGAAATGGCTGAAAGATTTATGCTGTTTAGAGGATTTGTCTGCTCAATTTGGTCCTTTGAGAGGGTGACAGAGCACCTCTTTTTATTCCCCCATTTTGTACTCTATCCACGAGCTCACTAACATTATCATTTAAACACCTAGAGCATTCCTCCACAGTCTGGGCCTTACCCTCTGCAAACGCTAGTCTCCTAGCTCAGTTGCGGGTTATTCGCATATGACCCTGTCGCTGTCGCATGACATGCTGGAGTCACGGTGCCTGAAGACAGACACCATGCAAGAGAAGGATCCGTGGGAATGGAGACTAACAGAAAGATAGCTCTAGCTGGACACTGGCTGCTTACCTTGATTTCATAATCCCATGTTCCCACCGACCTCTCTGGCATACAAGAGTCCAACCCTTGAATATGTTGTCAATTGCAATATTTTTCTTCTAAAAATGTGATCATTATTGTGAAAATATTGTAATGAGTACTGATTATGTAGAAATCAATAAAATGAAAGTGTGTAGTTTCTTGATGTAGAGCTCTTGATAGAGACAATGTGCTCATTCCGTTTCTTATCACTGGGATGGATGCAACCTGAGAGGATGCAGTCTTCTGTGGTAGAGGAGGAACGGCGGGAAGAGGCGGGTGCATGAGGCCTCTGGTCACATCAAATCACAGTCAGGAAGCCAAGAGAGATGGCTTACCCTTCGCTCATTTTGTCCTTTTTATTCAGTCTGGGGCCTCAGACTGGGATGCTGTTGGCCACATTCAGAGAGTCTTCCCTCCTAAGTTAGACCTTTCTGTAGAAATTCTCATAGACGCATGCAGAAGTGTTTCCATGGAGATAAATCAAAATGACCATGAAAAGTAGTCATCACAGACTGGTGTGAGATAGAGCTGCGATTGCTTCTTCATCCAGGGTTTAGAATCACAAAATCACTACTGCACATGGAACTTGGTAATTATCATTATAGATGCCCGAATGCAGCTTGCCAGGGCCTCTAAGAGGGAAGAGCTCCCTGCCAGCAAAGATCATCAAATAAAACTTCTTAGAAGGAGCAGCGCTGGAGGGCTGGGGAACAGCTTAGTCAGGACAGTGTCTGCTGTGTAAACATCAGTTCAGGTGTCCAGAGTCAAACCAGTGCTGCAGAGGTTCAGCACTGAGACAGGTACTACCTGAAGCTCCAGACCAGGTAGCTTAACTGAAGCCATAAGCTTCCGGTTCAGTGAGAGACCTTTTATCCCAAGATAAAAGTGGTCCGTGAACATGTGTGTGTACTTGGTGCAGATGTGTGCACATGTGGTCATTTGTGCTCATGTGTATGCACACACACACACAGACACACACACACACACACAGTAGCAGCACTGGAGTGGACTCTCGAATAGACAGTGGATTTGGACGTGGGGACTGAAGTGTGAGGCACATTGTGGCTGAGGGAACCCACTGTGAGAGAGGAGTGAGAGGGAAGTGTATTTGATACTTTGTTAGGAAGGGAGTAATGTAGTGTTGGGAGGTACACCTGTGACGGCTCTTGAAGGTGAAGTAAGATAACGTAGTAAACATGAGTTTCCATTTTAGGGAAAATGACCCCAGAAACTGTGATGTGAAGGTAGAGAGACCAGCTGAGAATCTCCCCTTTCAGTGCAGAGGGTGCAGACGTAGTGTGTGCTCAGAAGCTGTGATGTGAAGGTAGAGAGACCAGCTGAGAATCTCCCCTTTCAGTGCGGAGGATGCAGGCGTAGTGTGTGCTCAGGGCTAAATTCTGGGCTACTGATTTGTACGGCGTTTGTGCACAATCAGTGAGAAACGGATTGTTAGCTTCCAGTGTGAAAATGTTAGTGTCCAGTGGAGTCATGACTTTAGCAGACTCTCTAGCCTTTCCTCTTTTGGACACCCGTGGAGACGGAGCGAGGCCTGGCGTCAGTTCTGGAGTGCTTACACGGTAATCTTGGTGAAGTCACATAGCTCTTCTAAGCCTTGGCTGCTTTTTAATTTCCAAATGATAATGATAGTATTTAATAAAATGTACTTTTATATGGCTAAGTAAAAATATACACAAAATTATTGTAGTAAAAGGTAAGCGCTTTGTACATTAATATGTTAGCAGCTGAGGATGTGAGCTTTCAGTGTCTGTGCTCATACGGACTTGATGACTGGCTGGGTTTAGCCTTAGATTTGAAATGTATTGAGCATATACAATGTTAATGACAATCACAACATCAGCACCAGTTCTGGAAAGAGCTTTTAAGTGACCCTTGGGAGAGTTGACTCTTAAACTCTCTTCTCTTACAAGTGAATCTAAGTGATGCCAGGCATGAGTCTGTCACAGGGAAGGATAGATGTGCCGGAAGGAAGCAGCAGTGGTAATGGCTGTGAGCTCCCAGAGGAGAGAGAATGAATTACTCCTAGGGTGCTGGTGGACGCTACAGATCGGAAATGACATTTAAACTGGCCTCAAGGGTCAGTGGCATGGGGGAAAAGAGCTTTAAAGAGATGAGAAATAGCATGGCAAGAGAAAATAAAAGGTAGCCTCAGCAGTGCACGGGGTGCCCATCATGAAGGCCCTGAGCTCCGCACTGCTGGGGTAGGACCTAGTCGGTTAAAGATAACATAACCGCCTTGCCTTCTTTGCTTTGCAGTTACTCAGCTTTTTTTTACTCTGGGAAAGGATTGAACTATATCTGCATACGTGTCATAAGGTAAGCGTTCAGTCCTCACGGGAGGCCCTACACAGAGTGGCAGGGGTTCCCACCGCTCAGTCCTCATGGGAGGCCCTACACAGAGTGGTAGGGGTTCCCACCGCTCAGTCCTCACGGGAGGCCCTACACAGAATGGCAGGGGTTCCCACCACTCAGTGCTATACTTGTAGCTGGCCCTCTTTCACTGCTCCCTGACAGACCTGCTGTGCAGTTTTAACTGAGATAAGTACATTCCGGCCTTCTCTCACTCCCCCCCCATTCTCCCTTTCCCTATGACATCTCCGGCAGATGTCTTACTCCGCCTTCCCTTCTCATCACAGCAGCATTCCGGTTCAGCCACTGAACTGTCGCTCTCTGCTCTCCATAGTAACCCTGCCTCCGATCTTGCAGATCCAAGCGTCCTCTATTTGGGCCTCGCTTGCCTATGCCTGTCATGGTGGAGAGGTAGTGGCTCTTTCCTGATGACATGTTTCTTGGGTCAGTGCCTACTTTCTCCCTTAAGGTCTGATTGGCCTTTCCTTGGTTTGAATCCATTTTCAAATGATACTACCATGGCTCCCCTCATTCCACTCTCTGTGGACCGATGCATCCTTGCACCATGAAGTCTCTGACTTTGTCCTGCCGTGGGCTGGACCAGGTCCAGTGGCACACTCCTCTTTATAGACTCCCTTAACTATGATGCCGACATCGTGCTAGTGTTTCTCCAGGACTGAGCATGTCAAGTCTTTCCAGTGGCCTCCTTAAGTCTGCTCTTACTCAAATGGAAGTGTAAACTTAAGTACTATTAAAATAGATGAGAATTGAAAATCATGAGCTCGTTCATGTAAAGAATGTATATAAAAAGGGGGGGGGGAAGTCCTGTTGCTAATGCCGTCCATTTTAGATGCTGGACACTCTCATAAATTAATCAGCAGAAGATGGAAATAACGTATTTTTCCATCAGCCCCTTCTCACTAAATCTTTGACAAAGAAATTGTTGGCATCCCACTTTCATTAAGGACAGTAACATCTTTAGTCAGAAACAGAGGAGGCTTAAACTCTCAGCTAAATCCCAGCCACAGATTTATCCTAGCTGCCTTTCCATACGCAGTCAGCAGGACGTCATTTTGTTAGCCTCTAAGTAAGAATACTCATGTCCAGTTAAGTCCTAGGTTTCAGTGAGCTTTTTATTCTACCTACCTCTTTTGGATACATATAGTGACTGTTGAGCCATTTTCAGACAACAAAACATTGTTTAATATTAGATTCTGGTATTCTGAAATGAAAATCTCTGATATATGTTTCATATCACTGGAGTAAGACTGGGCTTTTTGTTTGTTTGCTTGTTTCTGCTTCTTTTTTTTTTTTTCGAGACAGGGTTTCTCTGTAGCTTTGGAGCTTAGAGGCGTGCACCACCGCCGCCTGGCTAAATTAGATTGGTTTAAAATTATGCTTCCTTCTTGTCTAGCATCATTCTTAGACTTAATTCTGAGACATCTTCAGTGGGACTTTTTTGTTCGTGATGGTGGCGCACGCCTTTAATCCCAGCACTCGGGAGGCAGAAGCAGGCGGATCTCTGTGAGTTCGAGACCAGCCTGGTCTACAGAGCTAGTTCCAGGACAGACTCCAAAGCCACAGAGAAACCCTGTCTCGAAAAACCAAAAAAAAAAAAAAAAAAAAAAAAAAAACCAAATAATAAACTTTTGCCATTTTTCTCAACTTTCTTGTCCTGGACTATTTTGGGATCTAATTGTAGTATGAATCTGTGGACAATGAGAAGAGATGAAGGGGATTATGACAGGAGGTGACCTTCCTTGGAAGGTAGTTACTTTGGTTAGGCCTTCAAATCAGCGCAAACAAGGCCTGTGGAGTCTGTTTCTATTGGCAAGGGGGATTCTTAGGGGCTTGGAGGTTGACTCTTAACCCTTTTCAGAATAAGCCAGAAGGGGTAGGATTGGCAGCAGGTCTAGAATCTCTTAATCACCCAGGGATACCCAGAGAGCACTTCATCTTGCAGTGATGAGTCAAAACTCCTCATATAAATGCTTATAATTTGACTTCTTTACTTAAAAACAAACCCTAAGGTAACAGTGAGCTAGCAATAATGGGATGTCTCTGTGAAATTTTCTAGCAAGCTAGACTTAATGTACTTTGGGTGCTTTTACCTTAAATCAGTCTGGAGCACACAGGTCTCACGGCAGCAGAAGGACTCCCTGGAGTTGTACAGTGGATGGAGTGACGGATAAGGACATGCCATGCACAACAGGGCTCCTTCTGTGAAGCAGCATTTCTATACACTCGCCTCAAAACACACCTCACAGCCTAAGCTCAAAATCAGAGGGCCTGGAAGAAAGACCTTTCATGAGTAGCTGTGTTTACGTGACTAGATTTTCCCAAGGGAAATAATTTATTTGTACCTTATGATTGCTTGCGCCCTTTTAAATCATTTGTAAAGTTTGGGTTTGGATAAGAGATAAATTCCGCAGTCCAACTGCTGTGATTCATTTGGCTTTCTGATAGACCAGTAATTTTGCATTCATGTATTTGAGATCTTGGCTTGTACTTCTTTAAAAGAAATAGTCAAAGAGGAGGTAAAGGTTGGTAATGACCTGCTGCTGGAAATGGGCGGCCGGCTAAGGATGGAAATAACTGAAAGGCAGAGGGTGGAGATGCGAGATTGGTAGTCGCATCAAGCCGCACAATCGTGTGATGCCTTCCAGCCATGCTACACAGCAAACACTTGGGAACAATGAAGGTGACTTGATTGGAGCCACCCTCGCTGAGGTGGCCTAAATAATAGCATGCAATGCCCAGGACAGTTGTGATCCACATCTGGCGCCTTTGTTTCCCCAGGTCTTCATTCTCCTGGTGATCCTGCTGTGCTCCTTCTTACTGTATATTCTGAACCAATACTGGACGGACAAGTGGCTGATAGCTGGGCTGTCGCTGCAGGTGAGCACTAGCCTGGACTGCTCATCACGGTGTCCAGATGTGTCGAGTCTGACTCTTGGCTTTTCCCCAGATCTTTGCTCCCTTTCTGCACCTGAGCCTCATAACTGTGATGATTCTTCTTTCCTGGCCCCTAGCCATCTGTGTGGCCCACTTGGAATCGGAAGGTATGTCGTGTGAGTGGAACCTTGCCTGATCTCCCCAGCTTGTATCCTCCACTCAGAGACAGAGCTGTGCCTCTTTGAAAGCTCTTTAGTGTGTTATGTAGGCAGGCTCTTCATGGTCTCAGTTTCCGACTCCTATGACCTACCATAGTATTTGTAGACCTAAGCCCTCCTTCTGAGAAAGATTCTCTTAGGAAAGCATCATTTCCCCTTTGTTGGTGCACACCATTTATCTGGGACAGAGGGGACAGCAGAGGACTTCTCGATTTTCCCTTGACCTGAGTGCTTCTGTAAGACTTAGCCTGTTCATACATAGACATCACGGATTTCAGTTAATACTATGCCCAGTGATCTTTGGTTACATCAGGTAACTCAGAGAAATCCCACGTGAGCCCTGCCACACCTAGGAACCTAAAGAAGCAGGAATGACTGCCTCAGAAGCTGGTGTTCTCTCTGTTCTTTTGCGGTGTTGTGGAAACAAGACAGTAAGCTCGGAGTGCTGAACTGCTTTGTGAGTGAAAGCTGTAGGGTCTGCTTTCCACATCTCTCTTCCACCACTGGTCAAAGGAAAGGCACTTGCTTCCTGGCTTGTATGCAGGCTAGTGAAGGGCTGGTTTCATAGTGGTGCTGGTGTGTGCGCGCATGTGTGTGTGTGTGTGTGTGTGTGTGCGCGCGCGCGCGTGTGTGCATGCATGTGTATGTAGTAAATTTTAGAATATATTTCTCGAATAGGAGCTTAAAGGGAACATTAATAAACTACTTTCTTTGTTTTAGTTAGAATAAGAAGATACAGAATGGCAGGTTACGAGCATGAAGTCCTGGAGACATGTAATATATTCACAAGGTTAAAAGGTTAGACCTGGAGGTCTCAATTTGCTGAAGCACATAGGTAGTACAAGTGGGTGGGATCCCCAGGGGTCTAAAACAGAAGGTGTTGGGACGGAATCAAGGATGGACTGTGGTGTGGGAGATGGTTGTGGGCGAGGTCTGTAGGTGAAGACGAGAAAGAAGGGATATAAACAAAGCTAGTGTTTGTCAGCGTGTATGAGTGAGCACTGTCGTCACAGCTCTGTGAGGTTAACTCGGCTGCCAGACAGATCAGTTTACAGAAAGAGGATGAAGTCTCGGGGAGATTACATCACACGTCCTCGGTTACAGTCAGAAGTGATGGAGCTCAGCCTTGAACTCACATTTCTGTCAGCGCCTTTTCACCTGTACTGCTCTGCCCTGAGCTAGAGGGTCTCTCAGGACGGTCTTCAGTCTCAGAACCAGCCAAGCTCTTCCTCCCAGAGGCTCTTCTTGTACCTCCTTCCCTCCCTTCCTCCATCCACCTTCTGTACAGTTTTTCCGTTTTTACTTCCAAGTTACAGCAATATTGCCCTAATAATGTCTTTTTCTGAAATGCATTTTAGTGGTTGAGCACTTGTACACATAGGGCCTGAATTCAATACCCAGCACTGAAAAAAAATTGTGTATCTGAACAATTCTGGGTATTTATATCTAAACCCCGAAAGGAAGGGCGCGACAGAAACAGAAAGTGAACCAGCTGCTGCTGTGGGGTAGCTAGCTGTCTGGAACGGGTCTCCACCCCGCCTTTCGTTTTTACCCATGTTTCTCCCCTCAACCTTTTCAGCTCTACAGGTAGCTGCTGTACTCCCCTTCTTTATCATTCTTTTGTGTCTTTACTTGATGCCGCTGGGGATTTATTCTCCCTGCATTCTGAAAAAGGAGAATTTAGGGCCTAAGCCTACCTTCTTTGGACACAGAGGCGCACCCATGGTAGGTCTGAGCAGAGTGAGCACGGGTGGGTGTGGGGGGCATGGGATGGAGAAGGGAGCCAAGACCGGGTATAGGGGAACGGTCAGCCTCTTTGAAGAGACAGCTCCGGGAGCCAAGATCGGGTATAGCGGAACAGTCAGCCTCTTTGAAGACACAGCTCCAGGAGCCAAGACCGGGTATAGGGGAATGGTCAGCCTCTTTGAAGACATAACTCCAGGAGCCAGTCTGCTTCTAAAGCCCTTCCATCCCCAAGCTCTATGTCTGCCATAAGAGAAATGTTGGGAGGAGAGACTCTAAGGCACAAGGCTTGATATTCCTTTCTTCCATAGCTGGCACCAGAGAATACCATGATGTCCTTTGAGAAGGCCGTGGAACATGGTGCCTTCGGCCTGGAGACTGATGTATACTTAAGGTAGGAGAATAGGGACTGGGATCTGGGGCAAGAGGGGACTTGTCCGGTGTCACGGGAAGGACCAGATAGGCCCAAGGGGTAAAGAGAACAAGCCTTGAAGACTTTTTCTTTCATGTCTGCCACATATATGAGCCCCGTCTCCCTTTACCTCCCTGTTCTTCACCACAGGCTCACAAAGCACACGAGTCACATCTATCCCCATTGCAAACCGTGCTTGTCCCCTGACCCTGTGCACTAGCTTAGGAACTTGCTTACTAGCGATCCCCAGAAGTCTGCCTAGATACCTGGGATATTCTAGGCTACCTTCTGAGTGTTCAGCAGACGCCACTGGGTGAGATACAGTCGTGCTTCCTTCCCAGTCAGTATAGGAGGTGTGGCACAGTCGCAGGTGACAGAGTAAGGCCAGGAGTCTCCGTGCAGGAGAAGGATGCCTCCTATTCTGTGAAAGACAAAATCTGTATGTACTCAATGTTACGTTTGCACCAACCTTAAAGGAAAATATTTTGCTGACCAGAGATGGGGGCACTCCAGACGAAGGCATCTGAATGAGCAAACACAAACCACAGAGCTCCCTGAATGTGTCATGGACAGCCAGGATAGGTGTCAGAGGCTGGAGGGCCTGTGATTTTGTTGTTGTTGATTTGTTTCTTTGTATTTGTTTTCTAATTTTATTATAGTATTGTTTGCTTGCTTGTGTATGGGTGCCATGCTGTGTGTATAGAGATCAGAGGATGGAGTTGGTTCTTTCCTTCCGTCATGTGGGTCCCAGAGAGCAGACTCAGGCTGTCACATTTGGTGACAGGTCCCACTGGCTACTGAGCCCATCTCACCAGCTCGGTGCTTGGTTTTTACTTTGTTTTGTTTGTTTTTGTTATGAGAAGCCAGATCTTGTGTAGATGGTTTTGTACTCACTGTGTAGCTGAGGATGATGTAAACTTCCAACGCTTCTACCCCTACCTCCTTAGTGCTGACTACAGGTGTGTATCACTATGTACGGCTTGGTTTGTAAAAAAAAAAATAATTTATCTAACTTTATTCTATGTGTATTGGTATGACAGTATCAGGTCCCTTGGAACTGAAGTAACACACAGTTGTGAGCTGGGAATTGAACCGGGCTTCTCTGGAAGAGCAGCCAGTGCTCTTAACTGCTGAGCCCTTTCTCCAGCCCCCAGCTTGGTTTATTTTTCTTTTTATAATGATGGGGATCAAACTCAGGGCTCATGCATGCCAGGAAAGCACTTTGCCACTGAGCCACACCCCAGTCCATTGTTGCTTTTGTTTTTGTTTTTATTTTTTTATATGCTTTGGAAATAATTATTAAGGTGTTGGGTAGCAGGGTGTAGTAATGGTTCAAAGAAAAACAAAGGGATGCTTGGATCAGAGCGGGTCCAGGAACAGTGAGGTGTGTGTGTGTGTGGGGGGGTGCATCACTGTATAATTTATACATCTAGGCAACTTAGGAAGTAGGAAGGCTTCATTTTTACTGTGAATGTATTCAGTGAGGCAATCAGAAAATTGAGCCTTCAATTTAACAGAGGAGTAGCCTGGGCTCAAAGAAGGGAAATGTAGCTCTGGTCATGAGGCTGAGAATGAGCATGGTAAGGTAGATATTAACACTGGCTTGCAAGACCCCCAAACTGGGATTTTTGGCATAATTCGCTGAAACTGAGTGTTGTGATGGAGCTCTCTGTGTCATCTCTGGAAGCACCCAATGGCCATGGCTTCATGTTAAAGGTTCTGGTCCAGCAAACCCTTCATATCCGGTCTTTATTCTCCGCTGATTTTAACTCGGATCCAGGTCATCCTTCCAGCCTCTACTGCTCTGCTTGCTGACATCTCTTCCTGAAGATCTTCTCTTCCAAATGCCTCCCCCACGTTAGCGTCACACCAAGCTTCATTACTGCCCCAGACTGCACGTCATCCAGGGCCCACGTAGGACATGAACCTGTCAGGAATTTTAACAGGGAAAATACAATGTAAAGAACTACTAGACAGTAAAGAAGAGGACTCTAAGGATCATAAGAACAGAATGCTTTACAGCATAATTTTAGTGCTTATATAAAAAAGCATAAAAATAGGTTTTATAGAAAAACCTAATGTTTCCTTATTAATATCTGATTTGAATAATTGTGACTCCTCTTTCTTTTGGTTACTTTGTCTAAGGGTCTATCAATCACATATATATTTAAAACACCCAGCTCTTAGATTCATTGTTTTTCTTCTACTTTATTCCTTTCTTCCCTGGTTTTTATTATTTCTTCCTGTCTACTGGGTTTGGGTTTGGTTTGCTCTTGTTTTGCCAAACTCTTGAGTTGCATCAGTGAGTGGTTTGTTTGTGCTCCTTTTGATTTTTTTAATGTAGGCCCAGGAAAGATAATTTTCCCTCATAGGAAATTTTGGTGTGTTGTGTTTTCATTTTCATTTATTTCAAGAAAACTTATTTTCATCTTGAATTTTTTACCCATTCACCATTCAGTAGTGTGTTGTTTAATTTCTATGAGTTTGTATAATTCTAGAGATTCTTTTGCTGTTGATTTCAAGCTTTATTACACTGTGGTCAGATAGGATGCATATAATTATTTCAAGTTTTCTATATTTGTTGAGATTTTTTGTGTCCCAGCATGTGGACTGTTTTAGAGAAAGTTCTGTGGGCTCCTGAGTAGACGGTATAGTCTTTGGTGGACTGTACTGTAGACATCTGTGAGGTCCGTTTGCTCTATGATGTCGCTCAGTTCCTGTGTTTCTCTGTTTGTCTCTTGTCCTGATGACCAGTATGTTGGAGGAAGCAGTATACTGAAATCACCTACTGTTACTGACTTGGGGTTAATCTGTATCTTGAAGTCCAGTAGTATGCTTTTAAAGAAATGGGGTGTGCGAGGGTTTAGTGCATACGTGTTTAGGATTATAATATCTTCTTGGTCAATTGTTCCCCTGATCAGAATGAAGTGTTCTTCTTTAGTTCTTTGAATTTATTTTGGCTAAAAGTCTATTTTGTCACATATTAGGGTGGTGATGCTTGTTTCCTGGGTACCCCAATCCCAACCTTTCACTCTAATGTGATACCTATCCTTAAAGGTGAAAGAATTCTATAGATAACAGAAATATGGATTTTTGTTTCTCATTCTGTTCATCTAACCTTTATCTTTTGATTAGAGGATTAAGGCCATTAATATTCAAAGGTTATTATTGAAAAGTGTGTGCTGATAACTATTATTTTGTTGCCTTTTTGCTGTTTGTGTTGTTTGTCTTGTTTCATATTTCAATAATTATAACTTCATTTGTTTTCTTTCTGTAGTCTTTTGGTCCCACCCCTAGATGAAGCTCTACAGGCAATCAATGGTTATTGGGAACGGGAGAATCAGTTTTCTCCAGGGACGAGCCTCTTGATAGGTTATCCTATCCCAAGTGGTCCTTAAACACATGTACATATGAACAATACCACAAAGACTCAGTATATTTATGTATATAAATATCAATAATAATTGTGGAAGACAATGCCATGAGTTCAAGAGGAAGGGTGTATAAAGAGAGTTGGAGCAGGGAGGGAAGCAGTGGCCCTCGTGTGAAATCCTAAAGAAAATTAAATAAGAGGAAAAAGGAAAAACACTTCGAGAGTGCCAGGTATTATTAAAAAATAAAATAACCAGTTAGAAAATGAGCAAAAGGCCTTTATAGGTATTTCATAAGAAAATATACAGGTAAAAATTCATATTGGAAAGATTTTCAGCTTCATTAGACATTTGGAACACACAGATGGTACTAACATTGGTCCTCTATTTGAATGACACAGGAGCTAGAGCAAGATGGCAGCTGAGTCAAATCCTCTACTGATGATATTACCATAGGCATACCCCCTCTGAATAGCTATTCACCTACAGGAGCTAAGAAGGCCAGGTAAGAGACCATACACTGGCTTTCATAGCATGATCAGGAAGGATGCAGTGAAGAAGCAGGAAGAATAGAGTTGCCCTCCTTCAACTCCAAGGAGCATGGGGAGAGTAAGGACTTAGACTTCAGATCTACTACCAAGCCTGCCAGGGGGCATCCAATGCCAAGCAGAGTCCCATCAGCTCTGTCTCCAGGCCAGCATTCATGACTGAGCCACTGGAACTGGGTTAACTGGCTGAAGGAGTGCCTCTGCCATCGTTCTCCCAATGTTGGGTAGCAGAGAAGAAAGCAAGATTCTCCTGTCTGGGGCAGAGCACAAAAGCTGCCACGGGATGTTTCCTCCTCTGGAGAAGACCTGTGTCAGGTAGAAACTAAACCCCTTCAGCCCAGATCTTAAATGGAGCCTCTCGGCCTGCTTGAGCATCAGGAAGGAGACCCGAGAGTCAGTAGCACGGACTCAAGTACGTCAGCCTTGGCAACCAAAAGGTTTCTGTAATACCTATTTGGGCAGCACAGGTATACCTGGCTAGTGCTCGCAGTTGGAGCCTTTAGAATTTTCCTACATCTGTACCCCAATGGGACAGATTTGTCTTTTAGTTCGATTCCCCAGCAGCTGTAATGTGGTCCTGTATACACCCCTGAAGCTTTGCAGGTCCTTATGGAAGACTCAGCTGTGACTTAGACAGCATCACGGGTGGCAGGCAGATATAGAGGGTCCATCTGCAAGTACTGGGACAGAGATAGCTGTACTGCCAGAGGTGAGCCACCAAGGCTGGGTCACAGTTGGGAATGGGTACATTAGCACTATCCCAGCCTTGGGTAGCAAGAGTATGCTGGCGGAGAGACTGGGGGAATAAGCATAGGACTTTGCCTTGGAGGTCAGTCCTGGGTGTATGGAACCTAACTTGGGCAGAGCCTAACAGCTCCTGTCCTCAGGCCTGCCTGAACAGCCCTGGTTTATGGTCTTCTGCCCAGTGTCACCGTGGATGGCTGCAGCAGTCTCCAGCCATGAGCTGGTAGTAGACAGTCGACAACAATGTGGCCTCAGTTCTTGGTGTCTTCCAGAGGCCAAGTGTGACAGTGTCGCAGCTTTGGTGACTTTACATAGGGACAGCATAGAAGCTGTGGTCTGGCCCATCTACGGTGCTTCTAGCCAGAGTGGGCAGAGCCCTGCCGTGTCTGAGTATCTGCTGGTGACCGTGGGTGAGGTCTGGGGACTGTTAGAGCTCGAGGCGGGGTTTGGGAGGAGGACGGACTGGCCTTTATAGCTACTTCTCTAGTTGGTGCTTTGAACAGATGACCATCTGGGGATTTGAGGTGAGTAAGCTTGGGCGTGGATCGCCCTCTAGTGCTGGAGTAGTGGCAGTACTCTAGCGTGGTCCCAGCACACATGGTTGCAGGAGTTAGTGTAGACTCAGATAGAATGCACAGCATCCTTAGAATTCCTAGAAAAACAAGCACAAAGCCAGACGGCGAAAACCGAGGCAAATACATCACATGCTCATAGGCATCAAGAACAGTCATTGAACCGTAACCTCACCGGGAAGTTGAAACAAGGTACAGGAGATGAACACGTGTTAACTAGTGTGGTCGTTGATGGTGGATTTAAGACATTTTAAAGAAACTTAGTGAGCGTCAAAAGAAAACAGAATGATTTAGTACTCAGAAAAACTTGACAGAGATGGAAACATTTTTTTTTTTAAAAAAAAATAAAGCTTAGTTGAGCTGGAAAAAAAACCAACCACAGTGAGTCATCATATTAAAATATAGAAAGTAGCAGAGACCAAATACAGGGAAGAAGTGGTGAACTCAGAAATAGGAGGCCAGGCTAGACCACCGGGAGGAGAAGCATGAGCAGCAGCGTGCCGACCGTGACAACAGCAGTGACCTCCAGATCACCTGACCACCGGAAATCAGCCTCAGGTCCGCCAACACCAGGAAGAATGGCCATCCGAGCCTTGGGCCATTGAAGGCTCTCCTCTGCCTACACCTGAGGGAGCGGTCAGTGGAGCCACAGCCCCCAGCTACACCAATTGGAGGAAAAGCATGTGATGTGTATAAAATATATACAGTGTAATATTTAAATCAAGGTAAGCATATCTGTAGCAAAATTCATTTTTTTTTTTACAGTGGAAACATTCAGCGGTCTACAGAGCAAGTTCCAGGACAGCCAGGGCTACATAGAAAGACCCTGTCTTGAGAAACAAAACAACAATAAAAACCCCCAAGAGCCAGGAAATATGCTAATATAGAGCCAGCTCTGAGCCCCAGTTACTGGAGCTGAAGATCAACCACCCACTTGGCTGGGCCAGAGCTCCTGGGCTCTATGCTTCTATTGCTGCACCTTGGCATCCACTGCTCTTCGGAGATCTGTCCTGCATACGCGTGTGGTAGTAGTACCAGTGTTCACCCGTGTGCCATACGTGGAGAGCAGAAGGTGACATCGGCATGTCCTCCTCCCTCACTTTCTAGATTCCTGCCTTATAATGGGCTTTCTTGCGGAATCTGAATTTCATTGTCTAGATCTGACTGGATGGCTAGGGAACCCCCAGGGTCTGCCTGTCTGCACCTCCTAGTGCGAGAGTTACGCATGTGTGCTGAGCCAGGGGTTTATGTGGGTGTCAGGGACCTTAACTCAGATTCTCAGGCTTGCACAGCAAGTGTTTCACCAACTGAGCCACTCCCCAGCCTCAGTTGTCAATTTCATCCAGCAGACTTTTCACTTGTTATTATAGTTTTAATCACCAGAACCTCCATTTCTTCCTTATATCCTATACACACATACTCACACACACACACACCAAACGCTGTTGCCTGTAGGCAAGGTTGGCTTTAAACTTGGCATCTCCTGCCTCAACCTCCTGATCTCCCTGACTGTCATGCCATCAGAGTTGGCTCTACGTTCATGTTTTATATTCATGTTTCCTTTGCATGTTTTTCAGAATTCATAATGTTATTCTATATTGTTTAACACCTCTGTCTGATCCTGTCACCTTTCATTCTGTGTTTGCCTCTGTCAAGGGATTTCACGTTTTCCTGCGTCTTTACATCTCCAGTGTGGTTTTAATGTATGCTGGACTCTGCAGTTTACATGGATGGGGACTATGCTTTGCTGGATTCTTTTGAAGAATGTTGGACTTTTTCCTAGCAGGTCCATGAACTGTTTCTAACTAGTCTGATCCTTTGGAGGCAGTCATAAGCTCTCTTCTGGAGGCACTCCAGTGACTGTTCATTGTTCTAGCTCTAAGTCATCTTCATCTCTAAGGCATGGCCTTCTGGAATCTCTAAAGGATACCCATGCACTTGCTGAGGTCTCTCCTCTCTTGCTGGATGGAATTGACTAAGTCACACCTCACGTGAGTTCTGAAACTTGTGAGATTCTGATAATTTTCCTTTTCTTGAAAGTTTTTTCCTTAAAATTTTTATTGCATTTATTTACTTGCGTGTTTATACATGGACACACACATGCCACAGCACATGTGTGGGGGTCAGAGGACAGCTAGTGGGAATTGGTTTTCTCCTTCCTCCAAGTAGGTTGTGGGGATTGAACTCAGACTGGGCAGTAAATGTCCTTCCCACTGAGCCACGTCACCCGCTCAGAAGTTGTTTTTGTTCAGCTCCCTGGAGTGTCATGTGTGTGAATTGACTCTTAGCCGTAGACTCCGTATGCATTGGTCAGGAACGGTTTTGTTTTGCCTTTGCATAGCTCCATCCTCCATGGGACTCTGTCCAGTAACCTGAACGCTTCTTTACCTAATCTGATCTCTTTCTCCCCATTGCAGCCAGATAGTTCGGTCCCTTTGGCTTCTCCCTTCTTGTATAAACTCCACTACTCACTACAGGAAGGAAGCTCTTGTAATGGTATAGATGAATTAATTTGATGCCATTTTCTCAGAGCTATAGTACTGTAATCCCAACTGTCCTTTGACTAAATAGTTACTCCCCTTATTTTGTCCAGTTTAATAGTTATGACAAATTACCAGCCCTTATTACCTCGTGACCATTGTAGATATTCCCTCGATGGTTATTTTAGTGAGAAAGGAGGAGAGAGTCATAAAGTTGGGGCTTCCACAAAGCAACCGAGAAGTAGGGGAATCAGGAATTGGCTTTATGATAATATCCGATGTAGAGTGTCTAGAGAAGCAGCTGCCATCCTGGAAAAAACGTCCAGAGAAACCCAGGAAGCCTATGTGGAGGCGTGCTTCATGGCCCCAAGAACCCTGCCTTACCCCCACTCCTGTCCACCTTATACTGAGGCCATTACTGTACCTTCTGCTTTCCTGGTATCAGGGATCTTCTGAGTAAGGAAGCTGCTCTTTCAACACCACCAATATGAACACATACACATGACAGAGTCATTCGGGGTGGGGAAATGCCAACATCTGCAAAGATGCCGGCACTTAGACACCTGCTGAGATCTGAGAGAGCCCTGAAGAGCTTTGGGGAACCATTCGTGCCATGGTGTCTGGGTTTATCCTCTGCACCTCTTCTCCTCTCCCCTTCTGCCCACAGCTATGACGCGGTACCTTTCCTTATGCACGACTATGACCTGAGCAGAACAACCAACATCAGAGAGGTCCTGCCCTCAGCCGCTTTCAACCACACTGCCACCTTCAGCTGGACTTTCCTGTCGACTCTGAATGCCGGCCAGTGGTTTATAAAGGTAGGACTCGTATCCGCTGGCTCTGTGGACTTGTGTGCAAGCCTCCCCTGTTCAGGTTCCTCTGCTGCTCCTGGAGTATCCACTTTCCCTGCTAGTCTAGAGGAGCAGTGCTCACATTCTCTGGGGGGATGCAGTGGGTCAGACCATGCTGTCAGCCTTTACTAGGAAGGCTGATGATAAACTTGTAAACTCAGCCTTTACTGCTTAATCTACCCGGGCATTTCATAGTCTTTGATAGTGTGTTTGCAATGCACATAGCATTTCCCTAGCTATTTTGAATATCTCACAGTCTTCATGAAGCAGACTAGGAAACATTTACTCTTCAATTCTTGCTATTCAACAAATATGTGCTAAGTATCTACTGGGTACATCTCCACTTTATCTGAGACAAGGTTTCTAATGAGAAACCTGGAAGTGGCCAGCGAGCTGCAGGGAGCCCCCTGTCAGCGCCTCCCAAGTACTAGGATTAAAGGCAGGCATGCTGCGCCCGGCTTCTGCAGAGGTCTGGGATCTGAACTCAGATCCTCAGGCTTGTGCAGCAAGCTCTTCATTGGCAAAGCCACCCCCCAGTTCCTGCGATGAAAACCTGCTAATGAAGTAGGGGTAGAAGATAACTTCAGAAAACCTTCAGCCAACACCACTTCCCCATCGTGAGCGTGAATGATGGCCTCCAAATGGCAACAAACAAGAGTACCCCCCCCTCCCCACTCCCAGCAGCCGCACCCTGGGAAGTCTGGGCAGTGCATTTGATAAATAAAGCAAACTATTTACATACAACCCCATTCCCTGTGTCGGGGTTCAAAATAATACATTTTAGAAAGTTCCCAGAACTAATCAGCTTACTAAGGCCGTGGGATGTAAAATCTATAAGCAAGCATCATTTGCGTTGCTATAATCCTGTAATGAAGAATGGGGATTCAAGTTAATGAAATACTAGCAGTATACTGGCACTAAAAATCCACTGTTTGTGTGTAGATATAAAAAAAGCCACATGTGCGTGTGTGCATTTATGGATAAATACAAAAAAGAATCCAAAGGTGTAGATCAGTGGAAGACACATTGTGTTCGTGTATCTAAAGACTCAGTGTTGCTAAGGTGTTGTTTCCAGTTTGACTGGTAGCCTCAGTATAATCCCAGCTCTCAAATCATGACATGGAGACTTCTTATTATGAATGCTTGGCCTGGCTTAGGTTCGTTTCTGACTAGCTCTTCTAACTTAGATTGACCTGTTTCTCTTTATCTACCTTTTGCGTCCAGGCCTTTTCTTTCCTTCTATGTATCTTACTTTCATTGCTTCTGATGTCTGACTGGTTTCTTGCCCCAGGTGTGTTCCTCTTTTTCTCCCTGATTCTCTTCTCCTTCCTCCTTCTCTCTCCTGTTTATTCTCTCTGCCCACCAGCCCCACCTATCTTTTCTCTGCCTAGCTATTAGCCATTCAGCTCTTTATTAAACTAATCAGATGCCTTGAGCAGGCCAGGTGAAACAACAACACATCTTTTCATAATTAAAATGCATCCTTACGTTGTTAAACAAATGCAACACATCTTTGTCCTGTTAAAGCAATATTCTGCAACACAAACCTGTTGTTATTGTTGACTTTTTAGCTGACAAAGAGCACATATTAAAAAATGAGCTGGGGAGATAGCTCAGTCTGTACAGTTCTAGGAGTGCAAGCATGGGGACCTGAATTTGTACATCCAGCATCGGGTAAAAAGCCAAGCATGGTGGTGAATGCCTGCAGTCCCAGTACTGGGGAGGCAGAGACGAGAGGATCCCTGAGGCTTGTTGTCCAGGCAGTCTAGCCAAGCCAACATAATCCAGGTTCTGTGAGAGATCCTGCCTCAAAAACCAAGGTGGAAAGAGATTGGAGGAAGATGCCCAGCATCAATCAACCTCTGGTCTCCACATGCACACACACACACACACACACACACACACACACACACACACTCATCTACACCTGCACACATGTCCACACAGCTAAACATGTCCACACATACACTAAAACTAAAAATGAATTGTGCATACTTATGATGTATAGTTTTTGTTTGTGTTTGTTTGCTTGCTTGTTTTGCAATGCTGAAGATCAACGCTAGGGCCTTATGTATGCTAGACATGTCCTCTACCACTGAGCTACATGCCCAGTCCCAACAGGCTGCCTTGAAATATGTCTGCATATGTAGGGGATAGGTCAAACTAATTAATCAGTGTCTTACTACACATGCTATTTTGCGTGTGATGAGAATGCTTAAATTATGTTCTAGCATTATTATTTCAAGAATTAGTAAGTTTTTAAGCTATGGTCAGCACATAGAAAAGGTCTTGAAGTTATTCTGTCTAGATGGAACTGTGTGCACTTTGACTAACTTCTCCCCATCACTCCACTACCCACCACCAGTTCCGTAGCAGCCACTACCTTATTTTCTGTCTTTATCAGTAAAGCCTTCTTAGATTGCATACATAAGCGAAGCTAGCCTCTGTCACTCAGTACCAGGCTTATTTCACTGAGCACAATGTCCTACAAGATGGTATATGTTATCTCAGATGACATAATTTCTCTACCTGTTCAGACTCAACAGTGTTCCAGCCATTGATGAAGGTCAGCTGATTTCATGTTTTTCTACCCCATATAATGCTCCTAATAACATGGGGATGTAGATACCTTTACCTTTCTTGGTGATAGCCCCTCATCCTTGGATGTTATGCTTTGATAGGCTTCAGTCTTTGGTGCCTCTTGGTTGTGGAAGTTTATCTCATTCAACCCTCAAGTGCATAGATTCTTTTTCAGTATATCCAGTCTGCTAGTAAGTCTATCGGATACATGCTTAACCTTCAAAATATCCTAAGGCCTGGTTGTGGTATCACAGAGCTATAATCTCAGCAGCCAGGGGACTGAGGCAGGAGTATTATATGTTTGAATCAGTCTAAACTACATAGCAAGATCTTGGCTCAAAAAGACAATCCTGAGAAACACATCCATTACTACATCACTTTCCTGTTTTACAGTTTGGGCTACTAAAAGTCAAGAATATTGAACAAGGGTAGTATTGTTTGTTAACTGGACAAAATATACAATTACCTAAAATAAACTTCCTGGCCTGTCTATGAGGATCATCTGAAGTTAGCCTGTATTAAGTTAGCTTGGACATACCTGTGAGGGATTATCTAGATTAGATTAATTGATTTGGAAATAACTACATTAACTGTGAGCAGCACCGTTCCACGGGCTAGGGGATCCTGGACTGAATAAAAAGGAGGAAGCCAGCTAAGCACTGGCATTCATGCCCTCTGCTTCCTGACTGCAGACACAGAGTGACCAGGTGCCTCAAGGTTCTGCTGCCATGACTTTCTTGCAGTGACGGAATGTGTTCCCTCAAACTGTGAGCCAAAATAAACCCTTCCTCCTTCCCATGGCTTATTGCTAGATATTTTGTATAACAATGAGAAAAGTAATATAGAAAGTTGGTACTGAAAAGTGGGGTCCGTTGCTGTGACTGGAACTGGCTTGCAGGATTGTGGGGAATTTTAGTTTGGCCTAGAAAAGCCTTTGAACGCTGCAAACAGAGCTTAATGGGTGATTCTGGTAGGAGCTTGGAAGACAAGAATGAGAAGAGAAAGATGGGCAGTGGAAGCCAACTCCTGAGGTTTCAGGGAGAAATGAGGACTTTATCCAGAGCTTGGCTAGAGCCCATTTATGTACTACACTGGCAAAAAACTGACTACATAATGCCAGCATCCTGAAAACTCGAGTAAAGTTGACTGCAAAGATAATGAGCAGCAAGAAGCATACCTAGTGAGGATTTAAACTGTGGTCTAAGTTGTGTGTGAATACATCAAGTCAGAAAACGACACACATTAATAGACGCACAATAACGGGCCATCGGAACTTCCTGCTCTCAACGTCCCTTAGTTCAGGAATGTTTTAGAAAAGCTTCATGAAGGAGGAAGCTTTTGGACGGGCAGAGAGCAGGATTTTAGCAGGTTGACATGATAAACAAATGAGGGGTATAGCTAGGATTAAATCCCATGAACCCTGAAACCAAAGCACATGTTGTTTCCCTTACACACAGTTGTGACAGCAAGAGCCAATGGGGTAAGGCGGTATGGTCAAAAGGGGTGGATACTGAGAGTTACGGAAGACTAGAAAGGAAAGCTAAGAACATGGAGAATATCGGTACATGTGTAAGAAGTCTAGAGTTTCAAAGAAATCATTCCAAACCCTACAATCGCCAATGGAGATGTCCTTCTATTTCCCTTATATCTCAGAGTTTGTGTGTCAGAGGACATAGTGGGTGAGGTGGTAGTGGAGCAATATGGAGCAGAACCACAGACCAGCAAACCTGGGGGTGTTTTTGACCAAAGCCAATGTTTTGTTTTGTTTTGTTTTGATACATTTATTATTAGCATAAGCCATTTTTTGGCATGAAACCTTTATCAGAGGCTGATAAAAGAAGAGCAAGCAACCAATCAATTCCATCGCTGGCTGAGTTATTAGAACTTGCAAAAAATGAAAAAAAGTTTGTAATATTTGATCTTTTCGGCCCTCCACCGAAGCATCCTCTCAGAAACACGTTCATTCGAAGAGTGGTCAAGGTCATCCTTGACTCCAACATCGAGCAGCATCTGGTACGTCTTTCTCCCCATCCGTGGTCGGGCTTGGGAGGAGGGCAGCCTGTCTGGAGCATAGCAGCTGAATTCAACCTGCCATGCAGTTCTTCTCTGGGATCTGTAAGGGATTACGTGTCCTTTGGAAAGAGAGATAATTGTCCGTACAGCAGCAGGGGGCCATCGGAGAGTGACCCAGTTAAAATTACCCAGTGGGGTAAAACATTGGGACTGTTAGCTATTTTGAACCAAACAGAGGAGTAATACATTGTTAAAGAATGGCACAGGAGTTGAGGAGATGGCTCAGTGCATGACACACTTGGCACACAAGCGTGGAGGCGGAAGTTCGGATCTTCAGGACCCAGGTAAAAGCTGTTCAGTCCTGGCAGCCACCAGAGAGTTCCAGCCCTCAGGAGGCAGAGGCAGGGCAAGCTTGTTATCTAGACCAGCTGGAACTGGTGAGCGCCAGGTCCAGAGAGAGATCCTGTCTCCAAACATTAAGTAGAAAACAGTGGGAGAAGATACCTAATGTTAACTTTTGGCCCCTACATGTATGCACACAAATGTGCATGTGCACACATGTCCATCCACATACTTGTGAACATTCGTACGTGCATGTTACATATGCATACATGTGCAGGAAAAAAAGAATAATGTGTATAAATCAGACCCAACCATACATCACTATAATTACAACTGCTCAGAATGTTGAGGAAGGAGGACTGCAAGTTTAAAGCTTGCATGGACTAGAGAATAAATTCAAAACCAACCATACAACTTAGCAAGACCTTGCCTCAAAATTGAAAATTTAAGGGGCTGGAGAGATGGCTCAGTGGTTAAGAGCATTGCTTACTCTTCCAAAGGTCCTGAGTTCAATTCCCAGTCAACCACATGGTGGCTCACAACCATCTGTAAAGAGGTCTGGTTCCCTCTTCTGGCCTTCAGGCATACACACAGAATATTGTACACATAATAAATAAACTTTAAAAAAAATTGAAAATTTAAAAAGAGGGCTGGGATTATAACTTACCAGCAGAGCCCTTGCCTTGCATGCACGAGACCATGTGCTCAGTCCCTCGCACCACACAAAAAACAATAGTGTATATAGTAATTCTGGTGTGACTGCCCCATGGTCACGTCAGACCTATGAGGCTTCATGTCAATACAACTCTGAGGACTTTAGCTTTAAAGAATGGTCTAGAAAGACCAGGAGTTCTTAGTTGAGTAGAGATTTGCTCCTTGTTTGTTTTTTTTTTCTTTTAGAATCAGTCTTTTTAATTGCAAAGTTTTTTTTTTTTTTTTATCCCTTAACTTCTCAGAATACAGCAGTGCTCTGAGTTAAACAGTCATGTGTCTCTGCAAATGGAAGCCCATTTCCACAGATGAGCCGCAGCTGCCCTGGTCCCAGGAAACCTAAGGAGCTCCTCTCAAGGATGGCTTTGACATCAGCAACTGGGGAGGGCTCTTCAGTGTTCATCTCTACCAACATTTTTTTCTCTGTAAAGGATCTAACCCATGGTCTTGCACATGCTATGAAGGCGCCCTACCACTGAGCTCCATTCCTAGCCATCCATGTTTTTGTATGAATCTCCCTGCATGCTTGGGGCCTTGACCTTAACTGGAGGATGGGAAGGTCTTGGGAAAACTCAATTCCACAGCAGCCGTCCCCATTTTTAAGAGTTCATTAGACAAGATAACTAATTTGATTGCTTTACCAAGGGCTAGAATCCTTCTCTGCTTCCTGTAGACTGCTCCCCATGCTGGAGTGGCGCTTTGCCCATTCTCCCTGGGCCGTTTATGCCGGGACAGTTGATCGGCTGTTTCTCCTTGCAGATACTTTGGTTGCCAGGTTACGACAGAGACTATGTCAGGTTCAAGGCTCCTGGTTTCCAGCATGTGGGCCGTTTAAGAACCCTCAAGGAGCTTGCTAAAGAGAACATGACGATAGTAAATGTTGACTACAAGAGGCTGTTCTACCGGCGGATGGTGAGGTAAGTGTTTGACCGCCCTGACATTTACAGAATATTGCTTCTACCCAAGTTACTTGTAGTAGTAATAGTAGGTGTTTTTTTCTATTTTGACTCTTTAGGGGGGGCCCACCACCCAGCTCCCAAATGAATCACCCAGAGGCTTGCTTATTCTTACTTACAAATGCCCAGCCTTAGCTTGGCTTGTTGCTTGCCAGCTTTTATTTAACTTCTATTATCCCATCTACCCTTTGCCTCTGGGATTTTCCTGTTTTCTTACTTCTGCAAATCTTAGTCTTACTCCGTGGATTGCTGTGTAGCTGGATGGCTGGCCCCTGATGTCCTCCTCCCTCTCGGCTGTTTCTTTCTCCTCCCAGATTTCTCCTACTATATATTCTGTCTGTCTGCCAGCCACGCCTATCCTTTCTCCTGCCTTACTACTGGCCATTCAAATCTTCATTAGACCCTCTGGTGTTCTAGACAGGCACAGTATCAGAACTTCACAGAGTTAAACCAATGCAACATAAACAGGAATAACACACCTTAACATAATCTTCCGAACAGTTACTTAGAGTCCTCTTTTTGCCGTAAGATTCCTTCCTTTGGTTACCATCTTTGGGTCTTCTCATTGTTGCTTTTCCCTCCTTTCTTTTGCCAACAAACATTTACTGCATACTCCTTCTTTACTCTCATTTCTCAGCACCTAATACTTATTTTAAAGATCTGTTTTATTTTATGTGTATATGTATGTGTATCACATATGTGTAGTACCCACAGAGTCCAGAAGAGGGCATAAGATCCTCTTGAACTGGGGTTGCAGGTGTTGTGATCCTCCATGTGGGTACTGGATTTGAACCAGGGTCCTGTGGAAGAGCAGGCCATGCTTTTACCAGCTGAGCCATCTTTCCGGCCTCTCCACAGGCATTGTTATACATTTCACTCTGCCCTTTGGTAAGGTTGACTAAGATTCCATATTTAAGTGAGATCATACAATATTTGTCTTTCTACCCCCCGCTTATTTTATGCAATATAGTGTTTTCCAGGTTCATCTATATTGGGGCAGATAAAAGAATTTCTTTTTTCAAAAGTTGAATAGTATTCCATTGTAGTTCAGCACTTTATTCATCTGTTGGTAGCCACGTTCCCTGTTGTGGACACTGAATAATGCCGTGGTGGAGACGGGAATGTCAGCACAAGGCTCTTGCTTCCATCCTCCACAGCCACTCTGTCCTTCCACCCTTCTCTCCCTTCCCTAAAGTCCTAACCCAGCAAACTGTCTATAGTGCTGTTCCTTCAGGAATGAACAAACTCGTATTATATGTGACCTTGGGGATTGCTTTCATTTTTCACCAATCATAATTCTCTTGTGTTTCATTTATCCATAATTTGATTTTTGTTGTTGTTGCCAAATAGTGTTCATGGTGTGTGTGCCTAAGTTTGTCTAGTCAGTTACTACCAGAAGACACCTGGTTATCTCTGCCTGTTTACATTTGGGCTTTTATGCAAATATAAGTCTTTATTTCTCAGGGATAACTACCCAAGATTTCAAATTCTGGGGTATAATGATTGAATGTTGTATAAGAAGCAGCCAGACTTTTGCAGGAAGACTGCCATTTTACATTTTTTGCTAACAACACGATCCAGAGTGTCTACATCCTTTTTTAAATCTTACCTACTCTGACAAGCATGTAGGCAAATCAGTCTGTTTAAAAGTATATTCTCTGAAGGCCAATGATATTGCGTTTATTTGCTTCTGGGTTTCTTCATTTAAATTCTTGCTCTTTATTATTGAATCTTGAGGATTCTTTTCACTCTTTGTTGCGTAGGGTTTGGAAATGTTTTCCTGGGGCTGGAGCGAGGCTCTGTGGTGAGAGTGTGTGTGCACGGCTGCCCTTCCAGAAGGCCCAGGGCTTCCAGCGCCTGTGCTGGGGGCTCAGAACCACCCAGAAGTGCAGCTCCCAGAGACTTGACACCTTTTCAGGACCCTGTGAGCCCCTGCACACACATACACAAATGATTAGATAAAAATAAGTCTTTATGAAAGGGAACACTTTCTCCTAGTCTGTGACTTATTCATGGCATCTTCTTAACAGAGCACAAGGCCTCCTCCACAAGACAAGAGCAGTGCTTCTATTTTGACAAGACTGGCTTCTGAGTTTTCCCATTGAGGAAGTGAGCGTTTAGCTCAGTTCCCACTCTTTGCTCAGCTCGAGACCTGACCGAATTCTGTTCTTCTGTGTTTTCCGTAAGGTTTATATTTTTACATTATGTGCACAAGCTTGCAGATCATCCTGAGTTAACTTTTATACATAGTCTGAGGTTTGGTTGAGAATTTAATGTCCTTTGGGGCACTGGCTGAAAATCTACTCTTCCGCTCACTGTCTGACAGCTTTGGCACAGGTTATTTGAGCAAATTTGCATAGATCTGTTCCTGGGTTTCTGTTTAGGACACTGACTTACGTGTCTGTTCTTACTCTGGCACCATGCTGTCTTGACTGCATGGTTATGTGCAGCTTCGTTATCGGGTGAAGCAATGTCCTTTTCCTTACTCTTCTCCAGACTGAAGTGTGTCTTCTTTAGCATATGGGAGACAGAGCTGGCAGGGCCCACCTGGACTACACAGTGAGTTCGAGACCATCATTCACCGTAGAGTGAGACTCTGCCACACCTCCTATACCGCCCCAAAGACTTAACTTTCCTAGAGTTGCGTCTTTGCATACGCGTTATGATCAGCTTGTAACGGCGTAAACGAATGCAGACAGATTGTAAATATATATATATATATATATATATATATATATATATATATAGCTTTAATGTAGAAATAGACTTACAGAACCACCGTTCCCGCGGAGACCAGGAAAGCAGAAGCAGCGGCTGGGAGCACGCTCGGAGGCGAACACGCCCCCTAAGGGGCGGGACTTATCCCTACATCAGCTGACCTAATGGCACAGACAAACCTTTGCTGGCCTGCTCCAGGACTCAGGCTGACATTACAGATGAGCTGGGAACGGCTGGCGGCTCTGCTCCAGTGAGTCGTCACCCTGTGCCTCGTCTTCCTCACTTCCATCCACGTTTCATGGCTGTCAGGGTTATACCCTTAGTGCTTCTTACATTCATCCCTGAATAGCTCGTTTTCTTTGAAGTAACTATTAAGGATGTTATGTTTTAAACTATAGTTTTTATATCCCTTGTTCATATTTAGAAACACTGGATTTCAAGTCGCACTTTCAAATAGTACAGAGAAGTAACTTTTTACTTTTTTTTCCATTAATTTCTTTCTAAAGTTCTAGGTAACCTGTGGAACTTCCTCAGAGGCAGGAACCTGGCCGCACGTCTTGCCGAAAGGCGTAGTTACTGTCTTAAGTCTCTGCTCTGCAGCACAGAGCTTGCCACGCCAGGGACTTCTGGATCAGGGCTCAAAAGGACTTGGGGATGTGCTTACACTTGATCTTAGCAGCACCAGGAAGGCACATGGTGTGTTTTCTGAGAACTCGAATGCTAAGGAGACAGCTGGCCTTACTTTGCTACTCTGTCCTTCACGTACTCGATTTCTTCTCCCTGGGTCAGGCAGAAGGTCCATCTGTAGCTCGGCTCTCGTGTAGTATTTGCAGATTTGTATCGCTGAGAAGGGTCTCCTATCTTTGTTTTTTTTTTTTTTTTTTACATCCCACCAGTGCTCTGCTAGAGCTGGTGAAAGCCAGCCCACCCCTGAGCCCATTCTGTCACAGTGAATCCTAGGCTGTCCTTGGGCCAGCTGTTGTCTGGTGATTTTTCACAAACATGGTTGTTCCCCTTTGGTTATTAAGAGTACAGCTGAGCTGAAATCCTCTGTGGGGTGTTTTTGTTCCAGACATTATCAGGCAGCTAAAATCCACATCAATATGTACATTGTCAACGAGCCTTGGCTCTTCTCATTGGCCTGGTGCAACCGGATCGACTCTGTGACCACAGACAACATCCAGGTCCTGAACCAGCTCAGTCACCCACTCTTCTTCATGGTGAGCTGCATGTCTGGATCCCTCTAAATCTGGTGTGATTGTGATGTGATTCCCCCACCCCTTGTAGCCTCCCTTGGTAGTTCCCTGTTCAGCTACTTCAGAATAGAGATGTCTCTGAAGGACGGAGATGTGCCTTCTCCCTTCTTCACCAAAAGTCTCCTGGGTTCTTTGTTAACTGAATCTTCACAATGCACTTTGCATGCAATTTAAGCTCTTGAATTTAACACTATTGTTATTAGACCCATGAGGGCACTGAAGCTCAAAGGTGTCTTGGTCCATGTTCTCATGATGTGAGAGTCCTGGTGAGGTGTAGGCTTGAGCATGTGCAAGCACATTCACACACACACATACACACACTCACACACGGCAAAAACAACAGTCACAGGGATATTATGGGAAGAAGGCAGGACCCCTTTGACTACATAGGGAAAACTGTGTCTCAAATACAACGGTAAATAGGTAAGCCAGCATCCAGCTGCCCCACCCTGGCCCCCTGGTGGCACTTGTTGGCTCTGAAGACCTGGTTTGCAGCCACAGCTGAATCCAAGCACTTAGTGCCTGTGGGGGGAGCTGTGGCTAGCCCGTTACTGCAACAGAGCCTGGGTTTCTTGTCTGCATTGAGTCATTTGACTGCATGGGACTCAGCAGCACGCGCCAGAAAACAGGCTGTTGTAAGGGAGTCTCGGTGTGCCACTCATGCTATCCTCAAGCCAGTCTCCTGCCTCAGTTTCCCCAGTAGCTGGGACTAGGGAGACACTCTGCCATTGCCCACTGGAAAACAGTCTAGGATCTGGAGAGATGGGTCAGGGTTAAGAGAGCTTGCTGCTCTTCAAAGGACCTAAGTTTAGTTCCCAGCACAATGCCAGGCAGCTCACAACTGCCCTGAAGTCCAGTTCCAGGGGATTCAATGTCCCCTCTGGATTCTGCAAATTCCTGTATGTATACACGTGCATGTGTATGAATAAAATAAATCTTTTTTAAAAGAAAAGTTTAATTTTGCTCCTTTGAAAGTTAAGCATTGGGTTTAAGAAAGGCTAAGAAGCACCAGCTTCCGTAGCATCAGGTAACACTGTACAGGAGCAATGAGGAGAGGAAGCACCAAACCAGGGAGTAGGAAATTCGTGTGAATCCGCGCGGGAGACAGAGCCCCTAGAGTGTGTGGGCAAAGAGCTGGGCTTGGCAGAGTCTGGAGAGGCAGGTATGTGCATCAGAGGGAGTTACATATAATCCAGCATTCTGTGAAGGATGTTGAGGCAGAACAGCGGTGCCCAGATGCTGGCTCATAGACTAGTTGCTTCCCTATCACCCGGGGGTGCAGAACCTGGTGCTTCTGATCCCTTAGGTCTGTTGGTAGCTTTAGAAGACTGCATTACTGAAGGCTTCCCAAACAATATGGATGTGAGCTAGATTCTGGAAACCATGTTACAGAAACAGAACCCAGGATGTCAGATAACAGGGACCGGAGTCCTGGGTCCAGAACAGACTTGGTGTGTGACTTCTCTGTGACTTCTATAGATGTCTGCCTTGAGAGTCAAGGAAGATGAAGGGCTTGGCACATCCTAGTCCTTGCAGATCCCCTGCATGTGTGCAGGTGGCTGTTGGAATAGCTGGAGGTCATCTCCTCTATCCACCACTTCCTCTAGGCCCTCAACCCGAGCAAATGAGCAAGGGACTGAAAACCTTTCAACCGTCAAGTTCTTGAGCTTGGTTTTGTCCATGTTTTGCAGACACCAGGATACTATACGTTCATATGGCTTTTCATGGTCATTGCTTCTGCAATTATCATTGGCGTTGTATTTTATTATCACTGGTAAGTATATTTTTCATAATTCTAAATGAGAAAGCCCTCTAAATAAAAGTAACAAATAGGTTCTACAGAAAACTGAGAAAAGGTTATTTTCTTCTGACACCTTCCATGGCAAGGAGGGCTTATAAGCCGAGCCTCTCATTTCACCCTGCCTGTGGCTCCCTCCCTCCCCCTGCCTGGAGCTCAGTCAGCATTCACTATGAATTCAGTGTGATCTGTTGAGAAAGAACAAGGATTGGAACTGTCCAGAACAAGGGCCTCTACCCCTGCCCCCCATAGGAACTCACAGATCAGGGGCACTGGGCTGTAGCCCTGGCTTCACATCTTAGTTGTGGGAGAACCTTGAGAAAAATTGCTTTTTCTTTCTGGATCATTCTCCTTTTTATGTCTGCCCTGAGAATGACATTTAAGAATCCTTGCAGGACAAATGATACAGGGTTTGGTTTAGTTTGTTTTTTAATAGTTTACTGTTTGTGTGTGTGTGCCTCATACCCACAGAAGCCAGAAGAGGGTGTCAGGTTCCCTGGAACTGTAGTTACAGATGGGTTGCAAGCCACCAAGTAGGCGCTGATAACCAGACTGGGTCCTCTGGAAAAGCAGCCGGTGCTAAGAGCTGAGCCTTGGGTCACCTCTGCAGCCCAGGGTTGTGCTTTTAAGATGTGTGAGAGAATTAACAGCCCAGAAGAAAGATGTAACTTAGATAGACCATGGCTCTTTAGATCCATCATTCTGATTGGCAGCTCACCTTTTAAAGGGGAAGAAGCACAGGCACTTGCTCAAGAGTGAGTCTGGAGGGGTAAAGTGTCTCTTCTGGGCACTGCCTCGATGATGCTCTCTGAAAGAGGTCTGTGAACTGATGCGTGGTCTGCTTCCTTCTAGGGTGAAAGAACTTAAGAAAGAGAAGTGGCTCAAAGACACTACCAGCGCATCTGCAGGTAAAGTCAGAAGGCTTGCACGTTCCTTCCTTTGTCTCCATGGCCTCAGCAAGACAGGTCCTGCTCTTCATCTCTGCCCTGATGAGAGCAGAGGGCGGGGGTGAGGGGAACTGAGCGTTGGGGACCAGGGAAAAGTAGGGAAATGTAGTCAGGCCCCTAGTCCTTGAGTTCCCATCTGCAGACTCAGCCAAGCACCAGTGGGAACAAAGTGAAGTTGTTGCTGGTGTGAATGATGTAGTCGGGCTGTAGGGTGTGCCAGTTACTGATGTAGTCGGGGTGTAGGGTGTGCCCGTTACTGATGTAGTCGGGCTGTAGGGTGTGCCAGTTACTGATGTAGTCAGGGTGTAGGGTGTGCCCGTTACTGATGTAGTCGGGCTGTAGGGTGTGCCAGTTACTGATGTAGTCAGGGTGTAGGGTGTGCCGGTTACTGATGTAGTTGGGCTGTAGGGTGTGCCAGTTACTGATGTAGTCAGGGTGTAGGTGTGCCGGTTACTGATGTAGTTGGGGTGTAGGGTGTGCCGGTTACTGATGTAGTCGGGCTGTAGGGTATGTTGGTTACTGATGTAGTCGGGCTGTAGGGTGTGCCAGTTACTGATGTAGTCGGGGTGTAGGTTGTGCCGGTTACTGATATAGTCGGGCTGTAAGGAGTGTTGATTACTGAACACACAGCTTTGCTCCTGTCCTTAGTGCTCATCACTTCAGCATGAGGTGCTTTCCAGAAAGAGCTTGCTTACCTTATTTTATCAATATGCAAATATCTTAGGATGCATTTAATAACAACCTCGTATGTGTGTGTGTCTATTGCTCCTGGGCAATGATGAATGAAACAGGGTGATATTAAATAAATCACATGAAAATGATGTAGGTCATCTAGAGACGTGACAACATGAGATTTAGCTGCCTGGTTTAAGTAGCATGTGAAAATAACAATAAAATACATAAACATAACAATGCAGTCACGTGTTATCATGGCCACAAATTTCCAACTGTACCTGTTATATAGCTGGCATCCCCATAAACGTGTACTGGCTACACGATGCTCTAACTCAAGATGGGATCAGCGTTACTAAACAAGAATTTTCAGTTCTGTTGTGACTTTGTGTGACTAGTATCGTGTGTTCAATTCATGATGACTGAAATGTCCCTATAGGGCACATGACTGCACTTCCTCAACAACACAGTGTAGCTATTTACACAGCATTTACATCATCTGGGCACTAGATCTAAAGATGATGTAAAGTATATGGAAGGTGTGTGGGTTTATATGCGTCTTACGGAAGAGATGTGGGTTTCCCAAGGATTCCAGTGCTAGTTCCCTATAGACACCAAGGGCAGAACCTTAGAGACTGGAATAGGTCCTGGAGGAGTCTTCACTGCAGACTGCAGATGTCCAAGCACCTATTCCTGGGAGTTCCCAGAAGAGGTGTTTACGCGCATATCTTTGTACACTCATGAGTTACATTACTGGGTACATACTTTGTGCCAGAAAAACCATGAACAGTTGAAGAGAACTTGATGGGTAATTGTTTTTGTCGATTGGACTGGATTTTAGGATCACCCAGGAAGCACACCCAGTGTCTGTCTATCAGGATGTGCCTATGAGAACATTCCAGACAGGTTTATGTGAGGAGGGAAAACCCACCCTAAGCGTGGGTGAGGTGGCCAGCTGGAATAGAAGGAAGGAAAGAATCAGGAAGGTCAGGTGGCTGTCACCAACCATCCTGTTCCTCTTCCTCCCTGTGGTCTCGGTGTGCCTCACTCTCTTCTCTCCTCCCAGCAATGATGGGCTGTCTCGCGCAAACCTTGAGCCAAAACAAGCCTTTCCTTCCTTGCCTTCCTCTGACCAGATATTTGAACTATTACAAACAACAACTACTTTAGATTTATTTTCCACTCACTTTATTTTCTTATCAGCTTTTCAATGTGATGGGCTCAAGTTAAACTTGGTAATTTTTCTAAGGCATTATTGCAACCTCTGCCATCTTCTACACAGTTCTTAAAATAGTTCATAGTTGCCTTATACAGAAACTAATTTTGCCTGATCTAAACAGAAAATAAATGGAATAAAAGGCCATATTGGAACTCTAAGATATATCCATAGGATATGGGACCAAATTTAAAGTTAGAGAAGGAACAAAGACTGAGCACAGTCAGGACATTGGCAAAACCACAGCCCAGATCATTCTGGAATGAGTGTCCCAGCCTTCTTAGACAGGTCTCACTCTGTAGCCCAGGATAGCCTCCATGTCCTGATACTTCCAACTCTGCCTTACGAACACTGCAATCCCTGATGTGAGTCACTAGCCAGGGGCCCACACTTTACATCACAGTCACCTGACAGATGCCTACCCTCAGAGAGCATCTGCTACCTCTGTCTTCAGTTCCATGACATCTCTTAAGAAAACTGCTCCGGGTTTTGGTCCTCTGTGACATGCCTATCTTTTTGTCTAACTGGTTTTTGAAATTGTTCCTCTTGTGATTGATTTTTGAAAATTAGACTATAATTAATCTGTGTGTGGAGGACGCACATGCAAATACAGATTTGTATCCTATGTAGGGTTTGATGAAAATTTTATAATTATCAGTACAGTTTTTTATCAAATTGGGCAGATTTTCAGTCTTTATATTTTCTTCAAAAACCTGTTTTCCCTCCTCTTCACAGGTTCTGATTCCAGTTACATAGATTTTTAGAGACTGTTAATTTTTATTTTTAACCTATTTAAATTTGTTTAATTCAGAATAAATTCTATGCTATATGCATTAATTTCTTTTCTTTTCTTTTTTTCTCTTGATCTTTTGAGACAGGGTTTCTCTGTGTAGCCTTATTCTTGGTTGCCCTGGAACTTGCTTTGCAGACCAGGCTGGTCTCAAACTCCTCCTGCCTCTGCCTCCCGAGTGCTTGGATTAAAGGTGTGCGCCACCACTGCCCGGGCACGTAAAAAGTTACCTCAAATCTTAAAACAGTGTACATATTTAGTTTCTAACAGTTACAGGACTCCAGTCACCTTGTGTCTGATCTCCTGGAGGCCACATTCACGTAGGTTCTAGCTACATGACCCATGAGCTTACTTCCTTACACACGAGAGAATTCTCTTCAGTCTGTTGTACTCATAGGAGCAATCCCCTTCTGCCTTTACATACACAGAATCAAGGGAGTCCTATTGTGCAATTACAGGCCTTGTGACACTTGAATGTTGGGAAACTTGGAAGCTATCGTAGAATCCCATCTCAAGCTCCACTGGAGCCCTGCCCTGACATTCTTGTTACTTGTAATATCTTACTAGGGAATCCTAACCACTGAAGTTTCCAAATGCGTGTTTGATATCCACATGTTCTATTTTGGTGGTGGCAAGCCATGGCACATAGGAGACATTCACTAGACTCGTGTTTCTCCTTCCCCATGTGTATCCCTAGACTCACACACTCAGGTCATCAGGCTTGACAGCAGGTGGCTTTTCCTCCTGAGCCCTCTTGGTGGCATGTGTGTGTATGCATATACATGCATATGTGTATATGTGCATATATTCCCCTTTCATCCCTTCTTCATGTAGTTTCATTTATATCTGAACACGGCCAGCAGTAGTGGTGAACACCTGCAATCCCAGCACCTGGGAGGAGGAGGCAGAATCAGGCCTTTAAGATCACCCTCAGCTACATAGTAAATTCAGGGTCAGCTTGGGTATGTGAGACACCGTCTCAAAACAACAACAACAACAACAACAAAATATGAACACAATTTATTCTCTTTTTTGCTGGCTCTCTCACCTGTTAGCTCTGCATCCTTTTCTATTACCCGATGCTTCCAGATGCCGATCATGTTTTCCCGTTTCCTAGTGTATCTATTGTTATTTACCATATTGTAAATGTAAAGTATTTACAGATTTATTTCAAACTAATTTGAAAGATTTTTGTGATGCATCAGCTTTTGAAAAAGCGTGTGGAGAGGAATGTAGCGGTGTTCTACATATCTCAAAATCTCAGCATCTAGAAAATGACAAAAATTCTCACATCTGTTTCCAAATTCTCTGTCTCTTGCCTCACCTATGGTGTGGCCTCTGGGAATGCCTCTGGACGTGAGGCAGATGTAGAAAGATGACAGACAGCAGTAGTGTTATTATGAAAGATGATTTAAGAGCCCCTCCCCCTTATAAAAGTCCCCAAGACTTCCAAAACTCCCTAGATGATAATTTGAGAACTGCTGGCCAAACGTCTCCCACTTCCTGGCCTTCCTCATTCTGGATTAATGCGGAGTCTCTTCTCCCTGGTAGTTTCCTCATTCTGGATTAGTGCGGAGTCTCTTCTCCCTCGTAGTTTCACATCGATCCTCCACTGATAAACTCTTGATGAGTTTCACTTTTAAAGTATAATGTTATTAGCATTTTGTGAAATGCATGAATGTAAATATCTCAGAGGCTCAAAAACAGCACCCACGTGTGCTGTTGTTCTCTCCAGATTGAATATGGGCAGGCAGAAATCCCGTCCAAGCCTTGGGCTTCCTGTCTTGCAAACTCATCTTTTGGGTGTTGGCACCATCACTCCCACAGGGTGAACCCCTTGATTTGGACACGGTCTCATGCTCTTACAGACTGTCTGGACTCCCTGTTTCTCCTCGGTGGCCTTAGTCTCAATCTCCTCACTCTTTTATTATATGTCTCTACTGCCTGTGTTATTTTTCTGGCACTTACTTTGGTGATGCACACTTTGGTGATGTACACTTTGGGGACGTACACTTTGGTGACACACACTTTGGGGACGTACACTTTGGGGACGTACACTTTGGGGACACACACTTTGGGGACGTACACTTTGGGGACGTACACTTTGGGGACACACACTTTGGTGACGTACACTTTGGGGACGTACACTTTGGGGACGTACACTTTGGTGACACACACTTTGGTGACGTACACTTTGGGGACGTACACTTTGGTGACACACACTTTGGGGACGTACACTTTGGTGACACACACTTTGGTGACGTACACTTTGGTGCCGTACACTTTGGGGACGTACACTTTGGGGACACACACTTTGGTGACGTACACTTTGGTGACGTACACTTTGGGGACGTACACTTTGGTGCCGTACACTTTGGGGACGTACACTTTGGTGAC